TAATCAATCTCTCAACTTTATATATATTAATAATCAAGGTTTGATGATTTATATATTATTTTGATTTGAAATTAAGTCAACTATTAACATTGATCAACAATTTACTCACTTGATTAACTAGTTGAGCTTGATTGTTACCTCAACCTGAAAATGATTATCATTATCATCCATCTAGATTGTGAATGATTAACACTTTCGGGAATTGTGATTACAATTAAATCAAGAGAAATCAAATCACAAAGGTAAATCAGTAAACACTGATGAGCAATCAAGAAACTTTGATTTATCAACACAATTTAAATAATCATGTTCACCCTTTGATGTTAATCAAACTGATATACGATCCCAATGATTACAATTGATTGTTACGATGATGATGATGATCCTGTAAAGTTAATTGAATCGGTAACAATCAATAAATTGTAATCAAATCTAATAAGTTGATGTCTAAATTGCCTCAGGCATAATTATCTTCATCATCAATTTTTCTTTCATCATTATTATAATCATTTTTTACCTCATTCCCTGTAGTCGCAATTAACTATTACAGCTAAAGGATTAACTTTAATCATGTTCATCATCATCATAATGACAAGAAAATTAATCAAAACAATCAAGAAAAGAAGTGAAAAAAAAAATAATCAATAACAATTAAAATAACAAATTGTAACCTCTTAATTATGTATAGTTAGTTAAATGATCTTCATTTTTTGTGCTCATCTTTTTTAATTAATTGTTCACTCATGTGAAATCAGAATTGTTGATTGTAATCATTTAGATTCAACGATTAATCCTATCAACTGAATCAAGAGTAATCGGAGTGCATCAGACACCCTGAGGGTGTAATCGGAATTATTCATTTTCCATGAGATGAATGATATTCAGAAAGTTAAATAACTGGAATGAATATTTGAAAATCAAAAAATTCTGAGAAAAAAAAAGTTCACAACTTTGGATAATTTTCCGAGAAATTGAAATGATTTATGATGAATTAGTTGCGAAAAGTTAATTGTTACAATAATCATGAAGATTAAAAAAGTAATGGGAAACAGAGATGGAAACAATTAGAAGATTTAATCTTCCAATCAGATTAATTGTTGAGTTGATTTCATGATGATTAGTAATTTTTTGGTTAATCTGAGAATTTTGTGAAATTTATTCAAGTGTATAATTGAATGAAACGATTAATCAGATTAATTAACGGATTAATTGATTGTGAGTGGGAGTGGAAAAGTTTCCAGAAAGAAATGAAAAAGTTGAGAGAGTTGAACATGAAGAGACTAGAGAATAATATTCATCATGATGAGTTCAGAAAATGAGAGAGGCAATCGAAATGTTCATGATGATGATTCAAGACTCTCAAGTGGGAATTTTTTTTTTCTTCACTTCTTTTTTTTTCGGTAATAATAACAAACTATTATCATGATAATTTAACGTTCATCCTGATTTCAGGAGCAGAACTTTGTGTCGTTGAAGAAAAGGAAAGTAGAAAGAAAATCTCTCTCAATGAATTCCAACTGAATTTTCAGGGAATCAAAATGAATATGAATATGGAAGAGAAACTTTTTTTTCTGAATAAGAATGAAATTTTCTCAGGTAATCATGATAAAAACCATCAACAGTTACAGTTGATATCACAATTTAATGTCAACATGTAATAAAATGAGACACCATCATGATGATGACTGTATATTTGTGTATACATGAATATCAGAACCAGAATCAGAATCAGAATTAGGAATAAGAAATTTTTTCGCTAAGAATTTTTCTCTCCAATCTTTTTACCGTTAGAATGTGAAAAATTTATCCAATTAAATTGACCGATAACTGTTTTCTTCCCCCTTTCATTCAGAACAATTCATGAAGATATTCATGGAGAGAAAGAAAAAAGCAAAAGAGAGAGAGAGAAAAGTTCATGAATGAATGAATTTCAAGAGAAATAACTTTTTCTATCATCCAGTCAACTAACATGGTAAGAAATCAAATATCATAGTGAAAAATATATATATCAAAATGACACTCTGAATGCTCATCGTTAATTCAACTGGAAATTAATTTAATTGTCATCATCTTCAGCTGACAATTATCAACAATTTATCTTAATCTGAAATCCTTTTCATCATTACAATTGATTGGGAAGATTGAGAAAAAAAAACTCAACTGATCAATTCAAGTGAAACTTTTTTTCAGTTCATCATCATGGTTATCGTTTCATGATCAACATTGAAATTAATGTTTCATATGATGAGTTAAGATGTTATCAGGATGATGACGATGACGATGATGATGATGATGATAATCAATGGGTGGGGATAATATTGATGACATGATGTTTTGAGGTTGATGTTGTTGTTTGGTTGGTCAATTAATCATTATTATTAAATTGCGTTCAAACTTGATTGTTAATTCAAGTGAAAGTGAATGATGAAAGGTGCTAATAATGATCATCATCATAATTTAGTTAACTAAAACATTTAATCATCACTGAGTTACAATTTAATTATCTCAGTTTATTAATATATACTCACAAATTATGTAGGATTTAATTGTAAATATATATATAAAAAAAAATCTAATTCAAATAACAATTAACAGTTAATATCCCCGGTAGACTTTACTTTCTGTCAAAATCCCTGTAATTAGTTGATTAAATTGGTTGATTGTTTACTGAGAGAGAAAGTAATTACTATTATATATAATCAAGTGATTGTGACACAATTTAAGCTTTAAATCATCAAGTTTTCATTCATTTCAAATCATTATGAGAATTTACAATTTAAATTGTTAATAAACAGTTAATGATAATCATGAATATTTCAATTCCATGAATATGTTTACTTAGGGAAAGAAAAATTTGATTACAATGTAAATATACAAGAGACAAATTAAAATTACATTTTAAATTGCTACGATTGTTGGTGTAAATTAAATTGTTCAAGGAAATAAATTGTTCAACAAAAATCCAATTGATTACGATTACGATTACAATTACAATCACAAATACACAAATTGTGGTAACAGTTAATGATGACGATACATTTAGATATTGGTTAATTAACTTCAAACAAATGATAATAATATATAAATTAACAAGATTGACAATCAAATCTAATCATTGGATTAGTAATTATTACTCAATGATAAATATCAAATAACACACACAAAGGATATACAAAGACAATAGAGCAAATCTTAATTGTGATAATAATAAACACGATGATGGTGATGATGATGATGAAGGGAATGATTATCTCATGGGAATTGAATTAATCAATCAGTTGATTCAGTTAATCATCATAATCATGATTATCAGTTACTTTTAAAAGGGAAGCTCATATTTCAACATTTCACATTTAAGTAAATGGATCCAAGTACATTTATTATTATTATTATTATTATATATTGAAGGAGTGGGAGGTTCAATTGATGCTGGGTAATGGTCAAGGAGGTGATGAGGATGCTGATGATTAAGGTGGTTTTTATAGTTCCACCTGATTAAATAATGTGTCTTAACCATTAAACTATCAACTGATTGTGAGCCGAGATTTAATCCATTTACAGTATATAAACAATGTATTAATAACGGTTAATACATGTAATGTCTATGGGTTTTATTTTCATCTCTGTTTTTTGTATTTTAAGATAAGTAAAAAACAAATAGCCTGGTCATCATTATCATCATCATCATCATCATCATCACCATCATCATCAACTTCATCATTATCAGCATCCTGAGCATTATTTTCATCCTCATCATTGAATTTTATCATCTTATGTCATATACCTTTAATGTTTATATTATTATTAGTATCTGGTTTATGAAAGATGAAACTTTCAATTGATATTATTATTATCACTTTGATAATGTTAATAATAGTTAATTGTTTACAATTTAAAACTATTAAATAAATCAACACTTTGATAGGAAAAGGAAGAGATGAAGAAAAAAAACAACATTAATTTAATTGTCACTTGGAGTAATTAATCATTTAAATGTCATTTGGTTTCCTTGTAATTAATCAATTAATATAATTTGCTGGTAATTTATTATCAAACTAGATTTAGTTTCTCATTGGATATCATCAATATAAAGCAAATTAAATCAATCAAAGGGTTGAAAATAAACATTAAACAATAAATTGTTAGCAATTAAATTATACAACCCACAGTAAAAGTAATAGAAAAACTTTCGGTCAAGTTAATTGTTTGATAAACAATTAGATTAACTTTTATTAGAAAATCATCAAAGTCTATTTAAGTTTCACTCTCTCTCTCTCTCAGTTAATAGGTGATAATTATAAGTTATCATTAACTGGTCATCGATTGGTCATCTTGATGATAATATTTCCCTACGAGTATTGAAATAACATATTAATATATTTAACAATAATCTTCATCATCAATACATTATTACAATTTATTAATCATTCACAATTTAATATCAATAAAAAAAGTTGAATGAAAAAATTTTCCAACACTTTTCATTGTTGATTATCATCATTATCTCATGGTAATAATCATCATCAATAAATCATCACAATTTAAAGGTAAATCCATTATTATTATTATCATAAGGTGACCTTTTATCAGTATCATGTCCACTATTGTCCAGTAATCAATAGGTATAAATGTTTCATTTGTTATTATTATATCATTTACTATTTATCATATGTATAAATGTACCTGTAGTGGTCACGATTAGTAAATTGTTATAAATAATAATCATTATAATTTAATCAATTGAAACAAAGTTCATTGTTCATTTCACCTCATTCATGATTAATGATTAATTGTTGTCTATTAATCATATTTAATGTTCATTGGGATAATATTGAATTAGTTTTTACAAACAAACAAAAACTTATTCAATTGTTTTAATGATAATGTTAATTTGAAAGCTAAACTAATTAATACATTTACAGTATTTACTTTTTAATTTAATTACGTTAATCTAATAATAAAAATTGTTTCATATTGATTTTTGTCTCGCAACAATTAAGGATCTAATTTGGTTGGTAAATTTACAACTTCGGTTAAAAAGTTTGTCCAAGATGTTGAAAGTGGTAAGTGATCAATATTGTTAGTTAATTGTTAATCAATTATTGGTTACTATTAATTGATTATTCTTACTTATTAAAGATCATACAAGAGATGGAGTTACATCAACTAATGAGAGACTTCGTATGGTTGATTCAAAGATTAATGAATCATATTCAACAATTAAAGGAGCATTAACAACATTACATCAGAATTATGAATCAGCTAAATCGGATAATAATGTTTACAATCGATATAAATTGTTTAAGGTAAGTTTTAATTGTCACCTTAATCAAGATGATTATCTAAACAGCACATATACACAGAAACATATGTAAGATGTGTTCACTAGAATTTGACAAAAAGTTTGAGTCATTTTTTTTCCTCTCTCTGATTGTTTACAATTAATTAAATTATATCAAATGAAAGTTCAGCTATTCATTTACATTCATGAAAATTTCAAAATTTCTGATGAAAGGTTTTGAACAATTAAATTTTGAAAAATCATGAAAATCAAATTTTCACCATATTTTCGGATTAATGGCTTTTAACGAGAACCAAAGGTCACATTTGATTTTGAAACACCAAAAGATGCTCAGAGGCAATGATAAAAACCGTAAAGGTTAAAGTTACCATGAAATCGCATATTAAAATATGCTAATTTAAAATTCTGACCAACGCATTTCTTGCTCTCCATGTTAATTTCTCATAGAGAATAACATAAAAATTTTCAATTTGGGAACTTTTTCAAAATTTAATTGTTTAAAACCTTTCATCAAATTTTGAAATTTTTCATGAATGTAGATGAATAGCTGAACTTTCATTTGATATAATTTAATTAATTGTAATCAATCAGAGAGAAGCAAAAAAAAGACCCGAACTTTTTGTCAAATTCTAGTGAACACATCTTAATATGTATCACACACATCATTAACTAATCACTTTGCTTTTATTAAGTCAAACAATTGAATTTGACATTAACAACAATTCAAATGATTTGAAAATAATATTTTCTCACTACCAAATAATAATAATAATAATAATAATGATAATAATATTATTCACATTCAGTTAATTCATATATATATATTCACTTTGTTATCACTTTCATATTTATACCAAACAAATATATTTCATTTCTTTTGCTGATTTTTTGTTCCCATTGATATTATTGTTATTATCGTTGTTGATATCGTCTTTTTTGTTGTTGTAATAATCCATTGTTGGTTATATTTAAAGATATCTGATATTATATGTATTTTTCACTCCCACTTAGTGGGCCAGTGGAAAATAGTATTACAACAACAGTAACACAGAAAACATTAATAATAACATAATAGTACAAAGGTAACGGTAAAAACAGCAAGAGGGAACACAACGAAGAGAGTGAGAGAGAGAGAGAGTATCATGTTGATATCAGATTGAATATTCATCCAGGATATTTATTCTGCCCATTTTTCCATGAAATTGTTTTTCTCTTCATTGTATTAATAGATGTAGGATAATATGAGGAACACATAGTTAAAGGAAGAGGTGGTTCTCATGTTTGTGATAGTGGAAAATGAGAAGGTGGAAGAAGAAAAAGTAAAAGATGATCTATTTTGTTCTTCGATTTTTCTTCTTCCCTGAATTTTAAATTATCATCTTCTTTCATCGAAAAACTGAGAAATTCAGAAATTCAGGAATATCAGGGAAAAAAAGGAGAGATAGATTTTCAATGTTGTTGTTGTTGTTGTTGTTGTTGTGGGTTTAGATTTTTTCCTCTTCTTCTCAACTGTTAGAAAGGAACAAGAATTGTCTAAATTTCATGGGAAACTGGTTGATTGATTGATAGGCCTGATTGTCAAACCGATTAAACTGAATGTCATCAAGAATTCTGGTTAAATCTATTCACATATTTTAACTTTTACAACTAAACAATAAAATACACAATGAGAAAACCACCAACAACAACAAGTACAACATTTTAATGTATATTTTATCTTATCTCTTGTCTTTTTCCAATCTTTTTTTTTCCTCCTTCTTTTCGTTGACATTTTACCTTTACCACCACTTCCACCATGACTACTACGACCACCTTTCTATCCTGGTTCTGTTTAACTTGGTGAATAACCTGGATATCAATTCAATTGCAATGTTGATCCTGATGATGGATATTGTGTTGGTGATGTTTGTCTGTTACATGTCCTATCCTTTTATGTGTATGGAAAACGATGAGACAACGTTTCATGTTTCACAATGTAAATCATAATTTAAATCAATTGTTATCATGTTGATGATGATGGACACAACCTAAACCACAGAAAATGATAAAAACAGTGATTAAATTGGATACACAATATTGGATTCTAATTGAAATACCCAAACAGGAGAAACATGAACAGCCCAATAATTATGTAATGAGATGTTGTTCAGTGTTGGAAAAAGCAAATGCAACAACCGATGGAAAATCTTCCAATGCAAAACAAGCAGAAGAGACTAGAATACAGTCCAACAGGGAAAGATTGAAATGTAAGTAAATCTAATAGAAAAGAAAAGAAAACTAATTAATTACAATTAAAGAAAAAGAAGAAGAAGAAAAAAACAAACCGAACAATAGAAAATGAAAAGAAAACAAATGGAAAGGGTTAACCTTAATGGCGACCAACAGGTCATGTGATTGAGAAAATTTGTTCTTTTCTTTTTTCCATTAAAATCAGTTGATTGTTTTTCTTTTTTCTTTTTAATTGTTTCTCTAAATTTGTTGATTGTTTTCTTATTCCATTTTCATGGTGTTTAACTGATTATGTACCAATAGAATTTTCTTTTATTGTGTAACATCTTGTTCTCCACTTCCTTTTACCTTTTGTGTGTATTGAATTTCCATTGGTTTTATTATTATTTTCTCTTCTTCTCTATGCTTATGGTTTGTATTATGTATTAATGTTAATCTCTTTTTCTGATTATTTCTTTGTTCTTCTTTTTGTTTATATTGTGTTTTATTGTCGTTTTTTTTTCTTCTTTTCTTTCTTTCTCTAGCCATGAGTATACCTGAAATTGAGGAGGAGAATAAACAATTGATTAATGATGTTTATCGGTTATTAAAACGTTATAATAACCTGAGGAACACTGTCCATGAGCTCAAAGTATCTTACATGGCGACAAAGGTTTACCCTGGACCGGCGAGATATTTTCTGCTTAAAGATATGGTTAAATCGGTTCTTCGTCATCCAAGTTACATGGAGGTTTGTCATGAAGATTTAATTGCTAACAATATGATCTCCAATGGAACATAACAGCAAGAAGAAACAACAAGAACAACAACAATACCCAATTATATATATTAACCAATCTATTCATCCAATTGAACAACAGGAGAGAGATAAAAGAGAAGAGGAACAACAAAAAAAAGAAAATCTATTTAAATTAAATCGATTCTCATCATCAACAATCAATAACAACAACTTATACAACAATTGATTCTATTTATTCATCCATGTTGCTACCTGGTTCATCAGACAATTATACAAATCTCTCATCTTCCTTCAAATTTAACTTTACTCTCAAATCTTCAAACCAAACATCAACATCACTTTTTGATTGTGTAAATGTTAAGATAATTGACTTTTAATTCAATCAAATCTTCAATTTACATAACAATTGTAAACATCATTCAACAACAAACATTCATCATCTTCATCATCATGATCGTATCTTTATTATTATTATTATTATTATACCTTATATATACTGTTAATATCAAACAATTTGATTAACTGATTATGATGATGGAGACAAGTTTGTAGTTGGAAATGAGTTTATGTTGAATGTTTTTTTTGTATTGATAAAATCACAATTTACAAAGTGACAAGATTCAACTGGACGACAATTAATTGATTTGGTTCTGTCTCTCAATTGAATTTCTATTAATATTACAATATTATTATTTATATATTTTAATTTGATTGTTATTATCAACTAATATTAGCTGATGATGATGGATTAGATAATCAATACCCAAAATCCAATGGATCTGATTTGTTTGCCAAAGAAGAAAAAAAAAAGTTAATTGCTGAGATTTGATTGTATCTCTTTTTCCTTGGATTAGATTTAATAATCTCCCTCTGGTTAATCATCTTAATCAAACATAACAAAATATTCAATTATCTAAAAACTAGACGAGACAACGACTTAACTATTATATATACTATATAATAATACCAAAAATCAACAATTAAACAAACAATTATATTCACAACTATGAAATATCCTAATAAACAATTAGAGTTTATTAAATTACTTGAACGGAAAAACTTAAAATCTAATAAACCACAAGGAATTAAATTACCTTGATTTGTCTAATCGAATGTCTCTGTAAATCATAATAATCATTAAAATCGTTAAACATTCAAAATTTCACTTGTAATTGATAATTAATCATCTTTGGTAAATTAATCAACAAAATCGATTCTAAATTGAAAGTAAATTTGAAAGTTTCGAGTTCTGAACTGTTCTATCTTATGTGTCCTTCCAAACAAACGATAATCAGATTGATCTATTAACCAATTTATTTCTGCAATTGGAAGTTTTATCATGAGAATTAACAATTAATTCACAATTCGATTAAAGTGATTAAGTAAATTTTTCGTTTCGTTATTTATTTTCCTCCTAAGGTCGGAGGTAATGCATTAGGCATTTAGCACCCCAGAGGGTGGCCCTTGTGGGCACTGAGCTAGACGCTCAGTTTTTCAATTTTTGCTTCTGTTATTTTAACAATTTCTTTTAAATTTTCTATTTTCTTTTTTACATTTGCATTATTGGTCAAGTTCCAGTCGTCGAGGTGTAGAGATCTTGTTGATTTACAGTGAATTAGATAGTGTAGTTCAGTTTGTTTTTTTCTTTTTCTCCTGGCTATTTCTTGAGTGTTTATCCTGATTCTGTTTATATTGTTGATTATCTTTCTTATTCCAGTTCCTTGCAGTGAATTATATACTTTTTCCAATTTTCTCGGGAAGAAGGTTTGTATTATCGATGGTTGTTGTCCAGTCATTGTCAGTTCTTCCATTCGTTTTTTTATTAATTTTTTTAATTCATTCGGTGTTATCATCTTATCCATGATTTTCACGACATTATCATTGTCTTCTACCTTTCCATCAATCGTTGTTGGTGTCCAGTGATAAAGCTCCTTTTGTAGACTCATAATCTTTATGATGATTTTCGTTGTTGTTGAGTTTGGGTAGCTATTGGTAAGGGAAGGAAGAAGATAATTAACTCGTTCGTTACAATGTTTTCTTACCATCATGTAAATCGCTATAAGATGAATTTTGTATATATTGGACTCTAGTACTTCGTAGATCTCTTCATTTATCTGAAAAGATTTACCATTGGCTTTATATGAGACTTTCTTGAAAGGTGAGTAGAGTGATTTTCTTTCCCAGAAAATCTTTTCCTCTTCCATTCTGGGATCTTCAAAGGTAGTTTTTTCTTTTATCTCTCTCAAGATTGGCCAATTCTTTTCGCTCATTTTCATTTTTTTCAGAGTTTTGATTGTTTCGGTTAGCCAGATAACCAACGGATTCTCGACCCCAAGTGCCATTATTGGTATCCAATTCGATGTTTCTTTCGATAGTCCGGTGAATCTTTTTAAGTTTTCATTTACAATTTTCTGTAAGTTGGTAATAAAGCTTAGATAGTTATGGTTTTGGTAAAGGGCATGAGGTCCAAGGTGATAAAGTATCGGTGATAAATAGGCATTTATTGCCGTTCTTTGGTACAAAAGTGGTAGTGACTTAATTATTTTTATCTGACCTTCTAATCCTGTTACATATTCATTTATTAGTGGTCTTAGGGATTCTGGGTGAATTGAATAAGCTAAGTATTTGCCTACTATTTTTGTTCTTGATTTATTCGGATGTTCGATCACCTTTGTTTTGCTTTGGTTAATCTTAAGGTTAATCTGTTTTAGTTCATTTTCAATTTTTGATGTATCATTTTCCCTGATTTCTTGTTTTGTTAGTATCATAATATCATCAGCGAAGGATATTACTCTAATGTTTTGTTGTTTTAATGATTTGACTACCCTATTCAGTCCCACAATGAATAGTGCAGGTCCTAAGGATGAACCAGCGGCTGTACCAAGATCGTCACTTTTGTACAGGATTTTATCACCTTTTTTATATCTTAAATGTCGATTCGTATTGAAGGATCTAATCATCGATAGAGTTCCTTCATCTACCCATCCATTCAATTCTTCATAAATGACATCAAGTGATACATTGTCAAATGCTTTTGAGGCGTCAATTGACACAATTTCACCCTCGTTTAGATGTTCTCTTATAATCACATGTAAGTCATTTACCGTGATATTTTCTTGGTAAGCGAATTGAGTATGAGATTCTAATAAGTACTTTAAAATTTTCTTAAGTCTATTGTATAAGATTTTGTCGAAAATCTTCATTACATAGCTTGTTATCTTTATCAGTCTAAGTGTTTTATCGGGTTTTGGTATGTAGTGAGCCCCCAGAGTTTTAGCCCAAAATGGTACTAACCCCTCTCTGAAAGCTATCTCAATCTTATTCATGATAACTTCTTTATTCTCATTCCAGAAAATTTTCCAATTGTTTAGCGAGAAATCATCAGCGTTTCCTGAATTTTTTTTGAAATTCATTCTCTTTATTGTCTCTCTTTCTTCTTTCGTAAGCTCTGATTTTTTGCCTGACTCTATCTTAAATGGTGGTCTAAATTCACTGAAATCACTTGTATCAGGTTGACTTTTGTTATCCTTCAGAATATTTTCTAAGCTTTTCTTGCTTTCTATCAGGTCTTTAAGAAATTTCCATACTTTTTCTGAGTCTTTTCTTATTCTGAATAAGTACTTCTGAATGTTCCTAGATTTATATTCTTGTAGTTCAATTCGTCGTTTTTCTAGCTGTTTAATTATGTCACTTGATGCTCCTGTTCTTTTCAATCGTTTAATTTTCTTCCTAATCATTCTTATTCGTCTATTTGTTGTTCTTTTTTGATATTTTACTTTTTTTATGTTAACTTCGGGAAATTCAAATATCATTTTAAAAAATTCTTGATAATTCTTGTCAATCTCTTGTTGCTTCAATTTTTTTCTGATTAATTTCTCTCTGCTAATATGTAACTTTTTCTTACCGAAGGATTTGTACATTTCAACGTTAATTTTGTATTCTCTGTGATTTGTTATTATTTCCCCTCGATGACAGTGAGAGTTCAGAGTGTTTGTTAATATGAGGTCGATCCATGATTTACTTTCATTGAAAATATAAGTCGGATAGTCAATACAGGGTGTGTTCATTACCTTTAATTTGTTGTCTATGATTAATTTCTTGAGATTGTTACTGGCTTGATGCTTCCTATTCCTTGTTGACCATAGAAGATCTTCACAGTTCGCATCCATCACAACGACTAATGGAAAGCCAGTGTATTTGCGAGCAACTTCACAGAACTTTTGAGTGCTCATTTCAAGGTTGTCATGATTCATGTAAGCCCCGCCAATTATCACTTGATGATGTCTATATGTAATCAACGCAAAGATACAGTTTTCACTTGATGTATCAACTTCATCAATTTTTATGTCTTTTGAAGTTGTCAAAATTGTTTGATTATTGATTATTATTTTGTCTCTTATCATCTCAATAGAGACTCTTCTATTTGCTTCCACTAGTACCAGAACTTTTCCCATCGATTTTTTTACACTTTCTATGTACTCTCTTGTGGTTTCTCTGCGATTGTTAGCATTGAGGTAGATTAGCGAGATTTCCGGTGTAGATGATCCACTCATAGTCAATTGAGAAGTTTTTTGCTTTTTTTCTTATAATTTGTCTTATAACTTCACATTCACTTGATAGAGTGTCGTGTTTTTCATGGCAGTTGTAACATTTTCTTAATTGTTTATCTTCTATTGCCTGGCACTGTTCTAAGTCATGGTTTTCTGAACAGAATCTACACCTTGTGTTGCAGTTTTCGTTATATTGGTGTTTCTCAAGGCACTTACAGATTTTCACTGGAAATAATCTTGAATGTTGAATAATTTACCCATGAAGTTAACGTATCCATCTTGATCTAAAAGTTTTTCCCTGTTTTCCTTACTTATTTCCAATTGGATAATTGAACCTCCATTATTAGTTGTTACACTGTTCACAAATGTTTGATCATCACGAGTTAGATCATTTGATATGATGATGTTGTTCAGGATGAGGTTATAAGAGGTCGGATGGTAATTCTTAACCCAGAACCAGATTGATGATTTCTTGGGTTCGAATTCACGAATTATTGATCGAGGGAAGATCTGCTCAATTACACCGATGAATTCACTTTTATCTTCGTTGTTGTTGAAACCAAATTCAATGTAGCCATTCGAACAATATCGATGATATTTGATTTTATTTGACGAATCAATTATCGATGAAAAAAGCACAAAGATTATTTCATGATAATTCACTTCACTTGTAATATATAGTTGAACTGAAAGATTCTTATTTTGATAAGGTAAAGCTTTTATCCAGTTTAATCTGTTTCCTTGTAACTCTCTGAGTATTTTTTTGTCCATTTTGTTTTCTATTATTTAGTTGTTACTGGTTGATTTTATTGTTAACTTGTTTTCTCAAAATTTGTTAAGCTCTTTATATTTTCATTATTGTCACTTGATTGATTCTAATTGTTTTTAAATTGTTTTTAATTAAGTTTTGTTAATATTTGAGTGATTGTCACTTTGTCGTTAATTTTTCTTTATTAAGATTTAATTGTTTTAAATTGGGTTATACAAGTTTTCTGTTTGTTTCTTTCTATCGTTTGTTTATTTTAATGATTACTGTTGTTTTCTAAACCCTTAATTTTTGGCTTCAAAGTGTTATTTTTTAAATGTCTTCAGGCCATAATTATCTTGTATCGATAATTTTTCTTCTCGAGTTCAAAGTTTAATTTTCTCGCAATTTCTGACAAAAGAAAAGTATAATTATATGTAAGGTTTTTACTTGAATTCATAAAGAATCAGTAGAAAATAAGAACGTTTTTTCTAAGAAAGTTGATGAGTTTTCTCGGAAAGTAAGTGAGTTTCCATGAAAGTCAATGGATTTTCACCATAGATTCAATAATAAGATGAATTTTACATGGACTTTCTAAGAAAGTGAAAGAAAATAATACAACCAGATCATAAATTCTAACATCGATTTTGTAAACAAATCAAGATATTTTAATCTGTACTTTCATGGAAAGTCAATATAATCTTGTACTCTATTAAAACAATTATCTTAATTTTTCTCACTTTGATAGAAGTTTCAATGAATATGAATACTAAAAGTTACACAAAGGCAATTTTTATTTAACTAACTTTCTTAGAAAGTACAATATAAGTAAAAGAAAAATCAAGAAACTCAACTAATTTCTCCTGATCTAACATCGAATTTGAAAACAAATCAAGATATTTTAATTTGTACTTTCATGGAAAGTCAATATAATCTTGTACTTTCTTACAATTATTATCTTGATTTTTCTTCACTGCGGTAGAAGTTCCAATTCCAGTTCCACTTGATTTTTTAAAGTTTTGTCTCTTTATGATGGATAAAATTAAATTTAATTGACAATTAAGTGATGAGAAATAATTAACTTGTTTGTGTTAATGAAATTAAGTTGATTGTTACAATTTACCAAATCGTAAATGAAATTTATCAAAAGCTAATTGTATAATTGTATAGTAATAATAATTGTATAATTGATGAGACAAATTTAGATGTTGTTGTAATCAAGATGATATAAAAGCTAACAATTAGTGTAACTATCAAAACAATTTAGCGAACAATTTACAGGGAAATCAAGATAATCATTGTAATTAACTAGAACCAGCAAGTTATTAAAAATAAGAGTAATTATCGTTAATTATAAATATCGTTAATTTTTCTTTATTAAGATTTAATTGTTTTAAATTGGGTTATACAAGTTTTCTGTTTGTTTCTTTCTATCGTTTGTTTATTTTAATGATTACTGTTGTTTTCTAAACCCTTAATTTTTGGCTTCAAAGTGTTATTTTTTAAATGTCTTCAGGCCATAATTATCTTGTATCGATAATTTTTCTTCTCGAGTTCAAAGTTTAATCTTTCTCGAAATTTCGGACATTTTGTATCGAAAGCACTCTGACCGTATTGGTTACAATTTGGGCATTTCCATTTATGTGGTAGATTTTTTATGGGACAATTTCCGTTTTGATGATTAACATCACCACAATAAGGGCAAATACTTATTTGATTACATTTGTTGGACATGTGCCCGAACTTGGTACAGTTTTTGCATTGTCTAACATCAAAGTAATCGATCACGGTGACCTTTTTGTAACCCATTGATATAAGTCCATTTCGTTGTTCAATCCATTCTCTTAGTCCAGGGTCAACTTCTATAATAACATCGAAGTTGTTGTTGGTTTTGTAGAAGTGTTTGATTGCAACATTCCAACATTTTTTCCATTTATTCTTTATGAAGAGTCTTTCGATCCATTGTTTTATATTATCAGGTGTAAATTTGACGTTCATAATCTTTATTTGAGGATCATGTAGCGGGGGAATTGTTGTGTTCCATTCGGGCTTAACTCTCTTGATGAAGTTGAAAACTCTTGTTCTTTCGGCTATATTAGTGAACTTAATTTTAGCTAATTCAAAACCAGGTGATATTTCATCAGGTGAGCCAATATCTTCTTCCGTTTCTTCCAGTAGCTCTTCAATTAGATCAACTGTTTGAGCGCCAATGTTCTTTTCCCATTTGTTTTTTAAGCCATTGATTTTTACAATAATCATATGATAAATTGGCATATCTGATACATCATACCAGGTACTTGGTTGATCTTGCTTCTTATCAAATTGGATCGACAATAAGTTTTTCATTTGTTTATTGGTGAGATCCTGGACTTCTATTCCTTCATCGTTTCCTGTTTCAGTTTTTTCTCCTTGTCTTTCAATGTCCATTAGTCGGTCAATAAATTTAGTTATTTCCATAACTTCATCGTCATTCATTTGTTTGACGGTTGTTGTATCTTCCATCATTAATTGAATGTACTTGATTATCGGATAAGCTTCTAGTTGAGTTGCAACAGTTTCCTTGTTTAGATTTTTATCTTTGTTTTCCTCATAATACTTTTTAATGATAAGAAATTTATTCTTATTCGACAATCTCTTGTCCTCTTTCATGGTTGATTGTGAGGTAAAGAGTAACAAGGAAGAAGAGTAAAGAAAAAAAAAAAAAAGAAAAAATATTAGTTTTTGTGTACATTTGTCTTGTAATTGGTTTAAAATTGAGTTGTTTAAATTTGATTTAGTTTGAATTTGATTTTGTTTTAATTTGATTCAAGTTTAAATTTGAAAGACCTAAAGGCCTTGGTAATGGTTTCTTTTATAGGCTCAAGTATATGTTTGGGTTAACTTACTCAGTCTTCTTAGATCATTATTTCCTTGTGTATCGGCCATTTTTTTGCACCAAAATGTAGCTTTCACTTAGCTTAATCGCTTAAAAGGCTTTTGAAAGTTTAATAATTCAATTTAATCGCACTTTTTATAAAAAAATCGGAGCACCAGAAAAACACTTCACTTAACCGTTACTTTTGTTTTTCATTCGAAAACCGATAGATGGAGTTGCGAACATCAGATGTTCTTGTTTACATTTTTGTCTTTTGAATAAACGCCTTAGTTAATTAATTGTTGTTCTAATTGTTGGGTCATCTTTGGGTGAGATTTTTGATTGTTTGAAATAATATTTTCATCTACTCATCTGGTTCCATGTTTGTTGTGTGATGTCTGAAGCTAATTCTTCATCGATAGGAAAATTTGTCGATTCAACCAGTGATTCAGTCTCAAGTTATAAGAATCTTAATTGGAGGATTGAAGTGATTACAAACACCCGAGCAATTAGAAATATTCATAAGCCCCAAGTAATTTATCAATTACATTTACAACAACCTGACGGATCGGAGAAAATTGAATTGCTCAAAAGTGATCTTGGTAATTTGTTCAATTTGAAGAATAACATTGAAGAGGCTCTTAATGTTTTCCACTAGAATGTTGTTGATCACCAGATTATCATCGTTTTCTTTGGGAAGAAATTTAATTGTCAACTCTGGTAGTAGATTAATCAATTCTCTATATTCAATTAGCTGTTCACCGGTTGATACTGGCGGTGAAATTGGTACACGATCTTTTTCAACCACTTCGTTTAAATGTAATCTCGCTCAAGATAAAGGTGAAGCTTTTGTTCATCAAGTTTTTTCAAATGTCGCCGATAATTACGATAAAATGAACGACCTGATGAGCGCTGGTATCCATCGATTGTGGAAATGTCACTTGATCAGAACATTGGATCCATTAAGATCGACTCATTTACTAGATGTGGCCGGTGGAACGGGAGACATCGCCTTTAGATTTCTCGATCATATGAAATGTAAATATCCAAATGATTCCAATCACCGGGTAACCGTTTGTGATATAAACGAGAACATGTTGGAAGTTGGTAAAAAACGAGCGGCCAAACGAGGCGGAAACGATGAGACACTCATCGAATGGGTTCACGGCGATGCTCAAAAATTACCATTCGCCGAAAACTCTTTTGACGCTTATACCATTTCCTTTGGAATCCGTAACGTAGTCGACATTGATGCCGCTCTTCGGGAAAGCTATCGGGTTCTCAAACCGGGTGGAATTTTCCTCTGTCTCGAATTTTCCAAAATGAGAACACCCGTTCTATCAGAACTATACGATTGGTATTCTTATAATATAATTCCCGTGATGGGGGAACTTGTCGCTGGCGATTATCGATCTTATCAATATCTCGTTGAAAGTATAAGAAAATTTCCCGATCAAAAAGATTTCGCTGATATGATCAAATCAGCGGGTTTTCATATGGTCTCATATCAGAATTTGAATCAAGGAATCGCCGCAATTCATATGGGATACAAAAAACCTTCATCAGTTGAGAAGAATCAACAACAATTAAAATCGATTGATCAGAATTAGTTTAATAATCGAAATGTGAAAACAAAAAGTTAACTTGAGTTAACCATTGATTGAGTTTGTTCAGTTCAAAATGAAATGGTTTATACTTTTAATTGTCAAGTGAAATGAACAAAAATTAAATAGTAGAAAATTCAATTTAATTGTGTGAAAATAAATATATTGTGATTGAGGAAATTATAATCAATTTAAATATTGGAAAACTTTGAAGAGAGGAAAAAAATGCAAGAACAATTTGTTGCAATAATGAAAGTTATCTGAAGGTAGAAAATATTATAATTACAAAGTAATGACAATTAATTGATGAGTTGATTTGTTTAGTTGATTTTTTTGATTGTCAAAATTTAAGTATCAACCAAAGATGTAAGGGTTTTTCTTACTCTCACTTTTGATTGTTGATTTTTTGTAAGGTCTTTTTTCTGATTTAGCGGTGAAACTTGATGCTGATGGAAATGAATTGTAAGATGATGATGATGATGAATTTTTCTTGTACTGTGATGCTTTCGACCATTGCGGGTTATAGGATTTCTTTTTAACTGGTAACGGCTCGAAACTTGCCGAAGTTCCGGCGGCCTTTTTGCGCTTGGCACTTGTATATGTTTTATCTTGACTTGCGGTGGATGATGAGGAAGAGGCGGCCTGGATTTCCGATTGCAGTTTCTTAAATTCAATCTCATTTTTAATCTCATTATAACTTTGGGTCACTTTTAGGTAACGGAGACCATATTTACTAAACCAATGAGCCGAAACGTGGGGAATGGCCAACATATCTTGCTCAGTTAAAGGTAATTTAGTGGACATCTCACGAAGAGCTTCAAGTGGGATAACGTGATGATAGGCAGTCTTATTGTTAAATGCTTTCGTTGAATTGGCAATTTGTTGGGAAACTTCAACCAAAGCTTCGTAACATCGTTGGGATATTTGTTGTAATTGTTTATCTTCCGAAGATTCTTTATCCTTGTTTCGGTCATTTTCCATTCGGCCCTGAGTTTTGGCCACTTGGATAGTATATTTTACTTTACCACTCATCATTTTGACACTTTCTTTACCTGGTCTCACATAAATCGCGGCCATGTCTTGTTTTGGTAAAACAACCAAATCTTCACGAAGATAATTATCACAGATTAATTTTCTCAATATTCGGTCAATATCATCTTTACAAAGTCTTTTTCCTTTTCCATGAGCAGGAAGCATATTATGTTTACAATTTACAACCATCTTATTATTTGAACCTAAGAATTGGTAGAGAGAGGGGAAAAAAATATAATATTATCAATTAAATTAGATGAATTATCTATAAAATGCGAAGTATAAATTCAATCATTGTAAAGTTAAGAAATTAACCTTTATAAATATCAGCTAAATGATTTAATGTAAAGTTTTTACGATTTCCTCTATTAAATGCATCCACTGTTTTCACAATTGCTACAACATCTTCGGTAATGTCTTCCTCGGTAAAGCTTTGCTATAATTAGAAAGGAAACAAAATATTAAATCATTAATTATTGTAAGTCAACAGAATCAGGTTAGATGATTAAATGATGATTCTTTTACCTGACTGGCACAATTATCACAGGCCGTTTGTTTATTTTTAGTACATTCCTTTTCGTCAAACAGTTCACCAAAATATCGTAGCATTTGAACTCTCCGACATTCTGCTTTATTACAACAGAAAAAGGTCATCAAATTAAGATTTTCGATATGAATCGCATGAATTGGAGTTCCTTTTGATTCACCTGAGAGAGAATAAAGAGAAATACGAAATAAGATAAATCAATAAGATCAAGTGACTTGTATTTTTCTCCTCGATTTAAATTGCTACTCACTTCGATCGAGTAAACGGAAAAGTCTCATTTTATCAGCTGGAGCATAGTAAAGGTAACAATATGATAAATCACCATCTCTTCCTGCTCTCCCTGATTCTTGATAATAACCTTCAATCGATTTGGGTAATGAATAGTGAATAACGAAACGTACATCAGGTTTATCGATACCCATTCCAAAAGCGACTGTTGCACAAATTACACTGATCTTATTACTAATCCAATCATTTTGAACATCGGCTCGCTTTTCATCCTCCATTCCTGCATGATATTCCGATGCTCGGATTCGTTGGTTAACTAATTGCTGGGCAACATTTTCACATTCGTTTCTCGATAAACAATAAATAATACCACTCTTGTTGTAGAATCTTGATTTGATTAGAGTCGCAATTTCGTGAATTGTTTCCTTCTTTTTGGGTAGAACTTCAAATTTAAGATTAGGACGATTGAAACTTTGAATAAACCATTTTGGTTTATCGATTCGTAATTGATGAAGTATATCAACACGAACTCGCGGAGTTGCTGTAGCTGTTAACGCCATTATGGGTACATTAGGATATTTCATTCGCAGTTCGCAAAGTTTTTTATAATCGGGGCGAAAATCATGTCCCCATTGGGAGACACAATGAGCTTCATCAATAACAAATCGAGAGAGTAACTTTTTATCATTAAGTGAGTGAAAAATTGAGTTGATCGCTTCAGAGGCGCTTATTTTTTCAGGAGTAAGATAAAGAAGCTTTAAATTTGGTCTACCACTTCTTAAATCTCTCATAATCTCGGCAACTTTTTCTGGATCGGTATCTCCGGTTAACGCTTCAGTTGGAATGTCCAAAAGTTTCAATTTGGTTACTTGATCATGAATCAATGATCTCAATGGTGAGATTACAACTGTTATACCATCATTAATGAGAGCGGGTAATTGGTAACAAATACTTTTACCACCACCAGTGGGCATGAGGATGAAACAATCTTGTCCAAGACAAGCTGCGTTCACAGCTTCCAATTGATTGGTACGAAATTTTTTCAAACCAAAAGTATCTCTGAAAATTTTCAACATATTTGATGAATGGGGTAAGTTGACTGATTTCAATGATTTATCATCTCCATCATTTCGATGATGACCCAAAAAACGAGTACCAGCAGTTTTGATTACTTCATCAACACCATCATTGAAATTATACTGGATAACACTGACATCTTTATCAAACCAAGCAGCAGAAGTATCCGAAGCAGAAGCATCATGAATTGAATAGTCGCGATCTTGAGCTTCCGATTCATAGGTAAATGCAGGCTCAAGATCAACGTCATAAACAGGCTCGGGTTCAGAATCAGGCTCAGAATTGTAGAGAAAATCGGGTTCAGGTACAGGAATAAAGGAAAACTCTGGATCAGGTTCTGATTTGTATGTAAACTTTTTCGCAGGCTTAGATTGATAAGTCCTTTTTTCCGGTTGTGGTTCTTCAGGTATAATATCACAAACATCATCAAATTCAAAAGAATCATCCAAAATTTCAATACAATCATCATCACTTTGATCACCATCGATCACGGGAATAGTAGGAGATGGAATAATTGTCTCAATATCTGTAGAAAAGCTACTATTATTTGACTCTTTCTTTATGGTTACAGATGAATGAGAAGGATAAGCCAAAGTTGATGAAGCAGAAGCATAAGAATCGTCTGGAGATGAAATGACTAAAGGTTCACTTTTGATTTTACCAAAATTCATTGTAACACCATTTCCACAATCAGGAATATTAACATCATCCAATATATCAAGGAAATCATCATTTAACATGGAATCAAACATTTTCTCTTCCACATTAGAATAAGCAATTGAACCTCTCACCTCTTCACCAGTTATTTTCACTTTTCGCGAGAAAAATTTACTCCTCACAGAATCAGTTAATCCTTTCTTTTGACACCATTCAACCCAATTGTTTTTCGGAAATTCCACCTCAATATCATCAGGATCGACCATTATTACAAATCCAATTAAGAAAATTAAATAATCATTCACAAAGAAAGAAAAAGAAAAAACCAAAACGATTAAACAAAAACCAGAAGAAACAAAGTCAACATCAACAGAGAGAAAACAAAAACAGAAAAGAAAATGAGAAAACCGAAATTCGATTTTTAGCGCCAAAGGGACCACATTCTAAGTTCCATTGGTTTGTTTTCTTTTCTCTTGGAAAAAAAGATTAACATGAACACATTTTGTTTCTCCATCTGATTAACAATTAAATTTAATTCTCTTTGGTTGACAATTAATTCGATTATCTTTTTTTTCTTTTCCATTCAAATATAATTTAATCTCTAACCTGTGACCCTTTTCTTTGAATTTCATGATGGAGCAAATGTAAGTTACTCTTTTTTTGCTCTTATTTCGGTCAACTTATTTGGTTGTGTTCCCAATTGTTGTTGTTTTTTTATTCACATTTTCTTGTTCTCGTTACCTTGTTATACTTTCTAATTACCTTGATTGTTAATTAATGTCATTGATTATTGTTGATGTAAATTGTTTTCTTTAAACATTATATATTTGTGTATCTTTTAACTCTTGTTGCTGTTGTTATTTGGTTTTTCCTTTGTTATTCCAGGTCACAGGATTCAAGTTGCCTTGGAACAAATCTTAAAATTAACAACATCAATACCAGTCGACCTAAGCCTAAGAAAGTGATGTTCATCAGAGGAAACAATTCTAATTTAATTACTACGCTATTAATGAAAGATTTTGTACGTATTTTAATTAACCTTTGAGATTATTTACCCTTTTTCTCACATTCGTTTTCTTTATATCCATTTAGAGTCGGCTTAAAAAGCCTTACTCTGTTTATCTAAAAGAGTAAGTAATTGATTGGTTCTCATTTTTTTTATTGATTATTTTTCTTATTTAGTAATTATTATTATTATTATTGTTTTCTTTTCTTTCTATCAGAAAACACGACATCAAACCATTTGAAGATGTAACTGCTATTGAAGATTTGGCAAGAGAGCAAAATTGTCCATTATTTATGTTTTCATCTCATAACAAGAAACGTCCAAACAATTTGATAATTGGTAGATTATCAGAAGAAGATCAAACAATGAAGGATATGGTTGAATTTGGAATTGATAATCTTTGTTCAATGAAAGAAATCAAAGGACCAAAGATTCCTAATAATTCACGTTTATGTTTATCATTTGATGGATCATCTTTCCAAGAGTGTAATAATTATCGACTATTTAAAGAATTGTTATGTGAATTCTTCCAAGGGCATGTTCGTGATAATGAAAAGCTTTCTAAGGTTGATTATTGTGTCAAATTGTCTAAAGAAAAGGAATCATCTAAATTTGAGTGTTCCCGTGTCATTCCAAGATATAAAAGTTCCAAGTTGTGTAAAATTGAGTACGAAAATCTTGGACCAAATTTCGATTTTTCTGTTCGACGTGTAAAATTATTCGCCTCAGAAGTTTTAATGGATATACCTGAGGAAACACCGGATGATATTCTGATTAAACCTGATGCCGACTCTGTAAATAATCCTGTTGACATATCAACAACTTTAATCGACAATACAATTGATGCCAATACAATTAGCAACAACAACAACAACAACAACAACAATAATGTTAATAATAGTGATAAAAACCGTGATAATATTGTCTGTAAATCTAATCGAGGAATCAAGAGGAACCAAGATGATCTCAATGAAAAATTGAAGAGAATGAAATTTTTTGATTAATTGAATAACCATTGGAAAATCAACATAATCAATTTTTTTTAGTGATCCAAATCAAATTGTGACCTTATAATATGTAAATATAATATATTTAAATCCATTATATTTGATGGATTAATACTCTGAATATAATTTTGTATTTGGAATACAAAATAGCAATAACAATCTTGTTAATTTAAAATTCAAATCCAGTCTTCCAAAATGTGATGACCTGAGTAACAATAACAACAATTAAACTGCATTTTCTAAATCAATTCAGTTATTCTGAATCAATTTCGATCCTAAATTAATGTGAACAATATTGAGAATCCCAATAATTGGTCATTTGATCAAATCGATTCGTCGAAATGTCCAAAAGTCCTAAAACATTTGACAATTTTTCTTTTCTATTCTAATCGATTGATTGATTATCTTGACCATCAACTTAATCAACAAATTATCTGATTAAGAAGCAAAAAAAATCGATAATTTTGTCTGATTCAATTTCCTTAATCAAGCGCAGCCTCCTAACCGGCTTAATCTGATAGAAAATCGTTCTCATTGATTATTATTTACCTGATCATTTATTTCATCATCTGTTCACAATCAACTGAACAATTAGAATGACCAAAAGTCATAATTTTCATCAATAAAATGTTAAACTGATTCTAATTGTTATCCCGACACTCAAATTGTTGGGCAACTCCTCCAGTCTTAATCATCACAAACACTTCCAATGGATCCAATTGAATTGATCAATAATCAATCCAAGTGTAACAATAAGGTAAGTAAATAAGACAAAATAGAAAATTGAATCTAACAATTAACAATCAATCCAGGAAACAATTAGAACAGCTTCTGAATCAGAACAGCAAGAATACAATGAATTACGTTCAAATCGGTCAATTGAAACTCTTGCTGATGTTTTCACCTTAGGATTAACTGTTTCAGGTAAGAAATCAAATTGTGTAAACATTAATTTCCATTAATTGTTAAACTCAAAATCTAATTGGATTTAGATAATGGTCCTTGTATTGGTAAATTAGTTTCCAATGGTCAATACGAGTGGACATCATATTCAACTGTCTATGAAAATATTGTCACAATTGGTCTTGGATTGAGACACTTGGCAATCCTTTCTGGATCTAAATTTAACATTGGCTTAATTGCTAGTAAACATTTAGCTGATTGTTGTCTAATTGAATTTGCTTGCTACAATAGCGGATTAATTGTTGTGCCTTTAGATGACAATTTAACACCAAAAGATTGTGCGTTGATATTGGAACAACGTAAGTGTGTTAATTGTTACATTGTTTCACTTGATTTTCCTTAATTGTTCCCATCGTTTTTCCTCTAGTAAATATTGGCTGTGTCATAGTGGACACACCTGATAGAGTTCATGGTTTAATTGGTCAATCAAATTGTCTTCAATGTTTAAAATTCATCGTAGTAATTGAAAGTATCATCGAAAGCTTTAAAAGCAAAGCTTTCGCTTATGGATTAACTGTTAAGACGTTAAATCAAGTGATTAAGATTGGAGAGGAAGATCCAATTTATCCTGAGGTTTAACAATTTTACCAAATCAATAAATTAGATTGTTGATCAATCGGAAGTAATTTAATTTTTGTTTTGTCAGGAGAAAATCAATTCCAAAGATATTGCTCTGATAATCCATTCAAATGGTTCAACTGGAAAACCCAAAGGAATCAAATTAACTCATGATAATATTTTATCAAATGCGATCGCAGTTACAATTAGATTAGTGAGTTTCTTGTAAATTATTGTTTCCATCATTTAATTGTTAATTGTTTCCTCTCTTAGGGTAATCATAAGCCAAATAAATGTGATATCCTCTTCTGTTATATGCCAATCACTCAAATGTATCAAAGATGCTTCCAGGTTTGTAATAGGGATAACAATTAGCAATTTAATTGCTTACAATTAACTATTATCCCTGATGATTAATTTCTGATTAGATTGTTACTCTAATGGCTGGTGGACGTTTGGGTTTCTCTGGAAGTGATTTGAAACAATCATGGAAAAATATGGAATCCTTGAAACCGACATTGTTGGTTACAATTCCTCATCTAATTAAGAGTCTTCATGATAAATTGTTCCTTAAAGTTAAAGGTAATTTGATTGCTGAATGGTTTTTACATCGGTCACTGGTCACTTTAGGTCCATGTTCTGGTCGGCAACGTCTCTCCATTTGGCAATCATATGTACTTTCAAGAATACGAAATCGACTCGGTGGTAATTTAAGATTAATCATTGTCGCCAAATCGCATCTTCCAAGATATTTAATGAACTTTATCCGTTTATCATTAGGAGCCAAGGCAAGGAATAGATTGATTAGATTTAGATGATGATTACAATTAACTTTTTGTTGCTCAGGTTTTCACCAGCTATGGACTAAAAGAAACCTCTGGACCTTGTACCATGTCATTTTCGAGCGATGAATCGACAGGTAACCAGATTGAAAGGTTATCATCATATTGGTTAACAATTAATGATTTCTAAATTGATTTTAATTAGAACACGTTGGATTCCCGTTACCTAATGTGTCCATTAAATTGATTCCAATGAAAAGTTTACAGGAATTAAATTTAACCGGTGAAATTTGTGTTAAAGGTGATAATCTATTCCAAGGCTATTTGTGTGATAATTTAACTAATTGTGATCAGAAATCAGAGGGTTGGCACTTAACAGGAGATATTGGTTTCTGGAGATCTGTAAGTGAATCAAGAGATTAACAATTAGATTGGATTTTGATTAGTTTTATGCTCTTGTTGTTTTTTTTCAGAATCAAAGTCTAGAGATTATATCTCATTCATTTGATATCTTAAGGCTCGATGGAGATGGAAAGTTAATTGGTTTGAGAAAAATTGAATCGATTTACAATCAAAGTCAATTTGTTGATTCTATTTATCTACATGGTGAACCAGAGAAACCGTTGATTGGTATTGTTAATCCAGCGAAATATCATCTCAACATTTGGGCTCGAGAAAATGGCCTCAAGGGGACATATTATGATATCTGCAAGGAGAAGGTAAAATTTGATTATTGAAAAGTTGAATTAATTTGATTGTAATTACAAGAAAATTATTATATTTACTCTGATTCAATTAGAAAGCTCATGAAGAGATTATCGCTGACCTCAGGTCACTTGGACGGCAACATGGACTTGAACCTTATCAACAGATAAAAGTGATCGCTTTAGTTTCGGAAAATTTTACTCAAAAAAATGGCCTTTTGAACAGTATTTTCCTAGTTAATCGTCAAACCTGTGCAATTAAATTTAATCACTTGATCACTGAGATGTATTCAAATATGATGATCAAATGATGATCACAATTTAAATGAATTAAAATGATGAAGAAAAAAAAAACTTTAAAAAAATTGGTTCAATTGTTTGTTTTCATTTGAATGATAATCACTTTTACCACTTTGATGATATTTTTATATCAACATGATGGAGGTGATAGTTTAATTTATTTATTGACAATTAATATCAATACAATTTGAGATCACCAACAACTTGATTGATTAGCGATGCTGCGTCCGGACCAATACCAAGAATCGTCTTGGATCCTGGATCAATTTGTGTTAATCCAGCGTCACGAATCAAAGTGGTCGATAAACCTTTTTCTGTGGCTAGAATTTGAAGTTTCTCTAATTGTGCAGAATCTGCCGCTTTCAGGACAATTTTCTTCGATCCTTGTGATTGCCAATAATCAATTTTCTTTGGTTCCTTAAGTAACGATTTGATAAACACTCCAACCGCAGCGTGACAACATTGAGAAGCCACTTTACCCTTTTCCATTTTAAGCTTGGTATTAACGACCATCACCATTTTGTATTCCTCAGAAATAACTTCCTTTAGATCATTTTTACTCTCAACAATCATTCTCTTTAAATTGTCCAACAAACCTCGAGAAGAAGATCCGGAAAATCTGAGAATCAACAAAAAAAAAAAATCAATAAGAAAAACCAAAACTCTAAACGACACATTTGGAAACACAAACTTACCCTGAACGTTTTAATCCATAATACAAACTAATCGCTAATCCAACACCTAAACCAGTGACAAGACCAATATTAAAATCACTAAATAAGTATTGATTACCTTTCATAATTTAATCACAATTAGAAAAAGACAGAGGAAAAACAATTAAGGAAAATCAAGCGAAGGGAAAATTTGTTGTTCCAACATGTGGTTACCATGGTGATTACAACGCTCTAAAGGCTAACATGTGATTCAATTTTCTGTTTTTCTTTGATTGTTGTTACTTTCATTTGGAGTTTAATTTGATTTTCTACAATTAAATTGAAATTTTACTAATCAATTTATATCAAATTCTTTATAGTTTTTCTGTCACTTGATGTTCATCTTTATGTTCAATCTAAAACTCACTCGATCCTAACAATAATCATCTCTCTCTCTATTATCTTACCTAATGAGATTTAAATTGTCACCCAGAGTAATTAATCAATTTTCCTATTATTCAACAAGTGAATCAATTGGTTTGTACAATAATCGATCGTTAAATGTTTGTCTCTTTGGCCATCATCAATCAGGGAAAACTGTCCTTTGTTCAACAATTACTAAATTATTGTCAAAGGTAAACTCAACTCGTCCTGTACCAATCAATTTACTTGATTCAAATGAGGATGAAAAAAAATTAGGTAACAATTTGATTGATTGTAATCCCAATTATTGTCACAACAATTTAATGACATTAAATTTTCAATCTTTTCCTAGGATCAACAATTAACCTCTCATTCGCTCCCATAAACACTGGTAATACCAAAGTGACTTTAATTGATTCTCCTGGACGAGATGACCTGATTAACGTTAAAATCCAAGGATTAAATCTTGCTCACATTGGTATTCTGGTTGTGTCCAATGATCATACCAATTTAATTGAAACAATTAACTATGAATTAACTTTGGCAAAGCATTTCAATCTCAAGGAGATAATTTTATTTCTCAATGATAAAACGCCAGTGACCAGTGACCCGATAATCGATAACGATGAGGCCAAAAAACGGCAAATTCAAAGTCTTCTCAATGAATATGGTTACAGAGATAATCTAATTGTTTCAGGAAAATCTATTCAACAATTGATCAATCATATCGATCAATATCCAATACCCCAAAGAAATGTTCAATGTCCGTTATTTATGAAAATTGTCCAGGCCAAAGTATTTTCCCGAAACGATGCCTACATTTTGGGCTACCTGGAGAAAGGTAAACTCGAGGTAGGTCAAAATGTGACCATTATCGGTAAAGGTCGTGAATTTGATGTGAACATTTCAAAGATCGTAAGTTCACCAATGGGTTTCGAGAAAATTGAGTCTGGACATTTATGTGAATTAATGATTAGAGGAGATCGATGTAAATGGATAACCAAAGGTAAAGTTAATTAGTCATTTTCTTTTTAATTGTTGTTCCAAATTAACTAATTTACTTCATTTTATCCGCCAAAGGTATGGTAGTTACGGAACCAGGAATTTATCAAGCCAATGATAACATTGATTGTCTAATTAAACCATTTCCAATTAGTCCTGATGATTTTAAGGAGAAAATTGAAAATCTAAAATCAATTAAGTTGGTTTACTCAGATCAAATTTCGTCTCGATGTTTCATCACTAATATTAATCATAATTGTCACGATGAGGTGACAATTAATTCACAACAATCAACTTACTTGTACAAATGTAATTTAAAATTAAGCCATTCATTAATTTTATCCAATCATCAACCAATTGCACTAGGACAGGATAAAAAATTAATTGCTCTTGGACAAGTTGATTCAATATTGACCAATCTAAAAGCTGATGACAAATTGAAGCTTTTTATCAAAGTATAATTGATAACAATTAGGAATCAATTAGCTTAATATCAATCGATAATCAACAACAATCATAGATGAAGTTAACACCCAACTCTCATCCAAAATTCATCATCATTCATGTCAGAGAAACAAAATTTCATTGATTAATTTGATTATCTTGTATGTAGACTGTTAATTTCTCAGCCCAAGTTTGAAATATATTTAAATTGTTGAGTAAATTTAGAAAATTAGTTAACTTAAAATATTCTATTGATTAAAATTGTCACATAAAAGTGACAATGATCTCAATTAAATTGTCATCAAACAATCAACAAGCAACTCTATATGAATATTATATTGATTGTAATCAATTTTTCAAATTTCTGGAAATCTCAATGATCCGTTTAAAGTTATTCCAATTGATTGGATTAGCTGGTCTAATCTCGCAAATTTATAAATTGCTGGTTAACCTGATTGTCCTCTACAAGGAAACAATTGCCACAGAAAATTCATTTTTCAATGAACACAACAATCGAGCGCTTTTCAATACATTCACGACGATTGATCAAATTTTCATCTTCCACGACTGGATTACCTTTAATCCGTTCACATTTTGCAATCAATTTGATTCACTTTGGAAATTGTTACCTTTCTCAATCCGCTGTCGAACGATAATAGAAACAAAATTATCTTCGTGTAGAACTAAATTTATCATAATTAGTTTAGCTAATTTGATTCTCTGTTATGCTTTTCTCTTCCATGATCCACTAATTGGTTATAAAAAAGTTGATCATTTAACTTATATCATGAAAGTGATCAGCATTCTGGGTTATGGTTATTCATGTTTAATTGTTTTCCATCTCATGGTTACCGGAATTTTCCTTCATTCGAGTTTGATCTGTTTATCAAATGTATTGGATTCTCTTGTTTATAAGTCAAAGGTAACTAGGGGACGAAGAATTGACCTGGAAAATGGTCAACACGGACTTGGAACGAAAACAATTTTGTTCTATCGAAATGTTTACCAACAATTAGGCCAATTGGTTGAAATAACCGATTCATCTCATCGGCTTTTCATTGGAACCTTTTACCTTTCCTGTGTACCAAAGTTCGTCACCATTGTCTATGATATCGCCTTCACGGAGGCCACTTTCAAGACATTCCATATAACCGAAGCTTGTGTTAATCTAATTCGTTTGTTTATAATCACCGATAGTATCGCTCGAATACCAAGTTTCACCAGCTCATTTTGGAAGACAATTTATCGATTAACTATTGTTTCACCAAACAATTCGGCCATGATTGAGGTGAGCTCCATTATCTTTGTTAATTATCAGCTAATTAACTAATTGTTCCATTGGTTTTCCTCCTTATTAGGCTAATCTTTTCCTCGAAAGGATCAGAAATCATTCCCATGGAATTAAGATCTTCAACAAAAAGTTAATCACTCCAGCGATTGTACCAACCATGATCACGGCGATTATCACTTATTTCATAGCGATAAGTTCAATTAATCGAGGCCAATTTGTGCCCGATAACGACAATGATTTCGGTGATGATGATTGACTTTAATTCAATTGAATGGACACAATCAAATCGAACCAAAAACAGGCGATTGATTTTCGATAAATCGATTTGTTTTTGTTTCTTTGTTGTTTTGATTGACAGATAAATAAATTAACAATTAATTTTGTTTTCCAAATTTACTATAATTAAGTTGACTTCGTTTATTATCATTAGAGGATTTACCATGAATAGGAATACATCATATGATTTCTGTAAAAGAGATTGAGGCGATTTGGTTTAAATTGTTTCGTTTGAAATAATCAAGGAAATTGATAATACAATTGATCACTAATTGTGATCGACAAGAAAAATAAGATGAATGGGAAACGATTTAATTGTTTTCATGACAATTAATGACAAAGAAACAGGTAGATGAAAGATACAAGAAAATTAATTCATAAATCTATGAATAATTAAAATTATCATCGGCACAATATAAATTAAATTGTACATGCACATTATACATTTATATTAATTGTTTGGTGTTAATTGTGAGTTTGATGAAAAGTTAAATGAAGATGATGATTATGATGGAGATGATGAAAATGTATGTTTTTTTTTGCTTAATTGTTCAATTTTCGGGAGGAAATTAACTTTTTCTTTGACATAATTGTATCACTACCATTAGAGTTAATTGTTGGGCTTATCAAAGCGAAACAGTTTCTCATTGTAGTAATTAGTTAACCTCATCATGCATTCATTGATTACTAATCATTAATCACTTGTTGTTGTTGTTGTTGTTGTTGAAATTTGAAAATATTATCAACTAATTAATCAACTAATATAAACATTTTATGTTACTTAAATTGATTTATAACAATTAGATTGATTTCTCTATTCCTAATCAATGGTTAAAAGTGTTGATGGTTGATTAATACAATCATGAGGTTGGAAAAAGTTTTCACATCAATTGATCAGGATGTTGTTATTGTATTAATTGCTAATTTGGTTTGATTTAGGTGTTTTGCTTATCCTATGGGTGTTGAATTGGGTTAAATTGTTGTTGTATTACTAAATTGGATTTCCAATCACAAATTTGATTGTATAAATCAATCGATTTTGTTTTCATTTAATTCTCTATTCTCGTAAATTGTGCCACTCGGCTATTTGTCTTCTCGGTGAGGCCGAAACCTCTTGCCAATGTCTAACCGCCGTTGGTCCTGATTTAGATCCAATCTCAAGTTTACCAATAATCTCATTCTTAGTCTCTCGATCGTAATCAAGAACCATGAATTCGAGACTTAAACTGTCCAAACTGTCCGACGATGGAACATCAAATACAAACGATTCATTGAAAACCGGGTCAGTTGTGTGCTTTTTCACATGAGTCTTTTTCTTGGCGATTCGTTGACCATTGTAGAGAAGATAAATCTTAACAAATGGATCTATTATAACAATTGAAAGAAATAGAGAGAAAATTAATTCCATGAAAAGAAAAAGAAAACAATTACAACAATTAACTAACCACACAATCGATTGACATCAATCTTTGGTAAATTTCGAGCCTTAAGAACCACGACCGTTAACCTATTGGCCGCTGGTTGGTAACATAGAGAGACAAGAACTTCACCTCTCCCCTGAGATCGAATCTAAAGAAAATACAATTAAGAACAACAATTAAGTTAATCATCCCAATCAATAAAATCATCCAAGGTTTCCACCTATTAATATATATTACATATTATTCAATTTCAACAATTGACTATCTAGACTATCAGCTCAGGGAATTCAATTGAACTGAACAGTCTAAATATCAATTGTATAACAAACTAATAAATTGTATTACAATTGATTGTAATTTCATTTGGGAAACGATGATAATTATAATTAGAACGAGAGAGAGAGAGAGAGATATTTATCTTCATGTCTATGGAAATATTAAATATATTGACATTCCTCTTGTCGATTCAATCTACTGAATGATGATGTCCAAAGAATCGTGTATTGGTTACTAAGGGTAAAAGAACAGTTCAACGAGTTAACCTAAAACAAACACGACATTGGACATAAGAAAATGTTCAATAATATAAGTTGATTGTCATGAGAATAAATAATAATAATAATGATAATATAAACAACTGGGAGTGACCATGATGATCATCTCATGGTCATCATCTGATTGCATGACTTGGTTACGATAACAGGGAGGTGGAAATGAGAGATAAATGAATGATTAAGAAAACTGAGTAATTGAATCGATGGAATGATTTTTTTTTTCGTTCTAAATATCGAATAATAATAAAAAAAATAAAGTTCGATAAAAAAGAAAACTTATTATTCTTATTAATAGAAACGTTTACCTTCATTGATCTTGGACAAATGTCTTCAACAAGTGACACTTGTTTCTCTAAGGTGTCGAAGTGTAAATGACCCAATTGATAAAACACTTCACCGATCACATCATCTCGAGAATAACGGTCAAAGGACAGAACCAGGAAGTGTAAACAAATTCTCTCCAGCATATCCGGTGTTATCTCATAGAAGATAAACTCTTCATCGTAAATTGGATTATCGGTTTTCCGGAGAACTCGAGTTTTCACCTTGAGGGTAAAAATGAAAAGAGAGAGAGAGAAACATAAAAATAGAATAATAATAAAATTCTATTAATATTGATGATGGAAAATATTGTTACATCTTGAAGCGATCTTCTAATTTCATGTTAATATTCAGCTCATCATGATGTTCACTTTGATGTTTCTATGTGTCTCTAATTACCAAAACTAATTTAATCATAATCATCTCCATCATCATCATGTTACATGTAAAAGTGTAAAAATTAATCTATGATAATAATATGACACTAGAATTCAATTGAATTTTCATGTAATACTTTTCTGTGATCATGTTGAAGTTCAATTTTCTCAGGTCACTAGCCTGAAGCTTCGAGGGAAGGGAATTTAGAATAATTAATTCTCGATAACATGTAGGAAGATGAGAAAAAGAATAAAAAATTTTACATTTTTTTCGCTCTTTATTTAATATTCCATGAGAGTGGAGAAGACATTGAATCAACACATGAATTCATGATGATTCTTGCAACACTTTTCCTTCTAGAACTGTAATATTATAATCTAAATAAGCGTAGGAGTTTGATTCTGGTATAATAACGAAAATAATAATACAAAGAGAGAGAGAGATATTCATTGGATTTCATGGTAATTCAGAGGGAAAGAAATAGTAATTGATATCATTCATGATTCCATGGGTGTTGATGATAAAGAAAATGCTCTCATGGTAAAATTAGAAAACATTTTCTTCATCAAAAGCTTTGGATTCTCTGTAGTATATTAGACACATTAATCTAGAATTCTGGTAATATAATGAAAAGAAGAAAGGTAAACAACAATTTATTAATTTTCTTTTCTCTCTAACTACAGGTAAAAATGTTGTTCTGTTAATCATCTGATAAAGATAATCTTCCGAGTGATATAATATCCTCCATGATTCAGATTCTGCTATTATATCAATTCCTAGTAATCAATGAAAGTGGTTGGAGGTGGAGTGGAATTGAGTTACCATATTAACTCAATCACCCAAAATCTGATGATGATATTTAATTGATGAAACTTTCGTTCCGTGACCAAACCCTACAATTAGATGATGATAACAATCAACTAATTGTTACCATCAGCATGTAAATTAAGTGTGAACACAGTTAAGGTATTAGTGATCACAATTAACTAAAAAACATTAAGCTAATAATATGAATTAACTGTTGAAATTGATTTAAAACGTAAATTATTTCCTCATAGGAAATCAATCAATTGATTGTGATGACGATAAAAACAAAGAGTTAATTTAATCATAATCACGTTTTCGTAGTCAATCAAAATGTCAATCAAATAAATAGCTGAAAGAAAAGTTTATAATAGAGGACAATCTATAATTAATTCACCTAATTAATCAATATATTATATTGATTGTTGATTAATCCTTTTTATTGTTTACTCTTGATGTTTATACCGATTGTCTAATTGAAACCGTTAATTGTTATTATATCAAAATCCTGAAAGTTATCATAGTTAACTGTTTACAAAACAATCAGACAAGAAACATCAACATGGGAAATTAAATCAGATTAAATGATGAAAAGCATTTACAATTAAACTAAATACAATTTACTCGGTAAATAAGTTTAACATTAATCTTCACCAACAATATTAACCTGACCTAGAAAAATAATTTACACAATGAGAATTGTTTTGATTACTGATGAAATTAATCCAGTGAAACAATTAACAGATTGTTACTCAATGTAAACTCAGTGGTTAGAAACATAAATTGTTGATTAAATAACAAGAGAGAGAGAAATCAAATTGACCTTAATTTGATAAACTAGTACAAAATGAAAATACAAGAGTTAACAGTCAATACATATGAGACTGGACATTTGATTGTTGACCAGTCGATAAAGTTAATTCAGTTCTAGATTAATATTGATTGGAATCCATGAAACTATCAATATTTGAATATTCATAAGTATTCAGATGGGAATATCAATTAGTTGATATAACAAATTTTTCGCAAAACTTTTTCACCCATTTAATTATCATGAGATTGAAACTTTCTATGGACAATCTGTAAGAAACTAGAACAATACAATTCATCATGATAACTATACGAATATTCATCAGGAAATTATTCTAATATGAATAAAGACTCAAGTTCTTATGTATATTAACCTTGATTGTAGTAAAAAAATGTAATAATAGTAAAAGAGTCAAGGTTATTGTTGATGTTTATTTTTCTAGTTGCTTTCAATTGGATTTATTGTTGATTGTGTGATTCAGTTTTCCCAATTGTGACCGTAATCAGCATATAAAATCATTAACATGATTATTATTATGAATTCACATTCAGTTTAGTAAAAACCAGAAAAAAAACAAATGAAATAAACAACAATCATCAAAAGAAATATAATAATAATAAGATAAGAAAAATGTCAAAGTTATCTACAGAATCTGAATCTTATTTATTTCATGAATAGATCATGAATTCATTGTGATCATCAACTATTCCGATGACAATCAAAATGCTGATGATAAATTATGAAGCAATTGTTTATATATTTTGTGTATTCTCAATCAATGGTACAATTATAAGGCTATTACCTGGACTGATTATTAAAATATGGTAATCATGTAATTATTATAATCTATTACATGATGATGATGATGATCAGTTAACCATGATGATTATCCCTATCAACTTATCAGGTTTCCCTGTAACTGTCATTATCATGATTTAAACTCAATCTATTTGAATGCATCAATGAAATTCAGACCAAGAGGATGAGCCAAAAATTGAAGTAATTTGATGACAATCATAATAATGATAATTTAACTTTCATTTGATAAAAAATAATCTTTTTTACTCCATGATACTAATCATTATCATCACCATCATCATTAGATAATTGTTTCTCATACAGGTACAGTTTCAAAACTTTGAAAACTCATTTAGTTTTCAAAGTTTCTCATTTCATATTACATAATTACTATAAAATATTTGCAAATTTTCATGGTAAAAATATTGAATTTATATACATGTATATATTTATTTTGAAGAAATGGAAGACAAAAATTGAAATGATTAACTAGAATTTAATCATTACTATTATTTGGCTCACATTTCAGAACTATTTCAAAGAACCAGGAAACTTACAGGTATCCTGCTCATGTCTTTTACCTGAGCATCGACAAGAATATGGTTGATCACAATACCTACAATAGTATTCGTTGGGATTCCGTTCAACCACTAATTCTGGACTTAAGGACCTCGTAAGCTTATGATCCTCGGCGATTAACTCACTAGGAACACCTTTTGCTTTCTGAGGATCAACGATATTCAAATCGGTGTTGATGATTAGAGCATTTTCTTAGACACTAACATGATATAATCATAATTATTTCCCCATTTGGAATAGGGTTTAGTAGGAAAAAAACAGAAAATGACAAGAAAACTCTCAATTTAACCTTTCAAAACGGATGATGAGAATTTACATTTGACCTTAGATATCAAGGTTATTCTGGTCGTTCTTTTATGATATAATTTCAAGGTCATTTGATGGTTAAAAAAACTATTTGATCTATTGTGAGACATCGATAGAGGTTGCGATATTAAAATATGACAATTGAGCATCGCTTTGCTTTAAACTCCGATAGCTCGAAGTTTGTGAACTTTGAGCTCGATTATCTTTAAAAGTACCGATCAGGGACACAAAAATAAGTATAGATCGTTTTGATTGCTAAAACTAAACTAAACTAATGAAACTAAAATTTTGTTTACATTCTCATTATTGAATCAAACGGAAATTAAGATTGGGCAGAATCCCCTGAATTCATGATAAATGGAATCTAAGGAATCCTGAGATTTGAAAGGAAAATTGAATAAAAGAAAATAAAGAAAAACTAAATTTTCGAGAAGAAAAAAAGTTCACATGATAAAATGAAAAAGAAAAAGAAAATTTAATAAAATTGTCATCAAGGAGCAATCATAACGGTAAACGAAGGTAAAAGTGATGAGGATGCTCAAAGAATTGAATCAAATGAAAGTAAACAAATAATACGATTAAATTAATATTATTAATTCATCTCAACGATCATTTCAATGTTTACTTTTAAACTAATTAAATTCATCGGGTTAAAGTTAATTGCTTACCTTGTGCTGTTTATCAGGTAATAATTGTAATTTAACGTACGGATCGTAATCATTTAAATTGTTTTCCTTAATTGGTAATCCGGTTGCTTTACCAATCACAATACAAAGAGCTTGTTTCTCGTAATTGTATTTTAATTTGAAATGTAATTTACCCAATTGTTTCATCTCATCTAAATGATTAACTTGATTATCGGTTGAATAATCTTGATTGGATTTATTTGTTTCCAAAATTTGATTCTGTTATCAATTGATAATCAATTAAATATTAATAACGATTGTTGATTGTTAATTGTTTTATATGTTTACAGTTTGATTGGTTGATTTACCTGATGATCATTTTGATTATGTTGATTATGAGATTTTTGTTGTTGATTTAAATCACCAATACTTTCAATGGCCACTGGTTTCTCAATAATTGAATTAGTTAATTTTTTAAGTCTCTCTGATGATGAATCTTTGGTTAATTTATAATCAATTAATGATTTCCTTTCACCAAGTCGTTCCTCTTGATCTGGATAATCAATATGAACATTAATTAATCATTATGAATCAGGATAATCGATTACTAAAGTTATATTAATAAGTGAACAGGTTAAACTAAATTGATAATTAATAAGGTAAATCAAAGGTTATCAATCTTGATAAATTATTTACACTTAATCAGAAAATATTGGAAAGCTAATTAATCATTACAATCAGTAATTGATAATGAAAAATATTGTACCAATTAAAGTTATCCTGTTATAAATATAACAGGTACCAGGTAATAATAACTACCTGACAATCAAGGTGATTAAAGTTAATTTTACTTGGTGGTAATTTTCATGAATCAATTTAAATTGCTTTCAACTAATATCTAAATTTAGCTTGATTGTTATTTATCAATGGAGATTTTTTTTTCTCGTTCTGAATCATCAGATTACTCATTTTATCATGATCATGATGATTGGAATCACTGATTCAGGTGAGTGTGTGGGATGATAAAGGTAAAGATTAAAGTTGAGATGATGATACACTTGAGATGCTTTAACTTGATAAAAAAAGGTAAAGATTTTTTCATATTATACTCATAGAATGAGTAACAATAATATTTAAATGTTACCATGATAATAATCATGATAATCAGGATGATTACTATGGGAATATAATTTTCTTGTTGTTTCTGAATAAATTGTTAGACTAACACACTTTGTATTACAGTGTTTTCAACTGAATTGTGTCTGTGAGTTGATTGGTTGGGATGTAATATCATGATGATGATGTGAATTGGAAATGAATTATTTTCTGAAAGTTCTGGGGAGGAGGTAAGACTAACCTCTACTTGGAGGACTTTTAGTTCCGGTTGGACTTGGACTTTTCTTAAGTGTTGGTCCAGTTGCTGATCCACCGGGACTTTTAACTGCTGTCGATCGTCTTAGACTCAAAGGTCGATCGCTATTTGATAATTTACGAAGTAGTAAAGTAGTGTGATGATCGGTATTGTTGTTTAATCTTCGACGGTAAAGTAAACAGACCAGAGCTGCTGAAAGGACAATGAAAACTGAGGCTCCGATGCTTATCCCGATGATAAGACCTTCACTTCCTGTGGAAAGAGATGAAATTTTTTTTTTTAGAAAACAAAGAATCAAATAAAGGAAATAAGGATGAAAAAGATGAATTGAATAAGAGAAAAGGAAAAGGAACTGATGAAGATAATTATCGTGAAAGTGGAATAAGGAAGGAAAAAGTTATCTGATCGTTAGAGGAATTGGTTACATGGGGAGAAGGAGAAATTTGAGTTAGATGAAGGGAAAAGAAGAAGATGATAATGATGATGAATGAGAGAGTGAAAGAGTGAAAGAGTGAAAAGAGAGAGGAAAAGTTAAAACATGAAAGAATCGTGAAGATAAAGGTGATGATTGAATTTTCTGAGGGAATAGAGAGACAATTGAATTTAGAGATGAACATGGAGATCGAGATGAGGAACTTTATCATCATCGAACTAGTCAATTAGGTGATGATATGTTGTTGTATTAGAATCGAAAAGGATCAATTGATTGTTGAGATGTAATCAGTTAATTGGAAGGAGTAAAAAGGTAAGCAAAGGTTAGAATAGAATGAAAATTTTTACGTCTTTTTTTCGAGGATTTTGAGTTTCACAAAAATCGCCTGGAGAATTGGAATTGGTTGTAATTCTCAAATCAATAAAAGATTTACTTATACAACCAATGGAATCAAATTACTAAATTAGACACAAATTATTAATCAACCAGAGAAAAATGTAACAATATCAACGTAAGAATGGTCAATCAATTTGATTTGGAAAAAGTTAATTGTATTCGCTGAGAATTACTTTTGGGTGACTTAGTGAATGATTTCAATGTCATAACTTGAAAATAATTACACCAGAAGAAAATAGGATAATAATGGTAAAGATTAAGAGATGGAAAAACAATAGAAATCAATCAATTGAATGAATTAATCGGATGATTAGGATTGGTTTTCGTTATTATAATTTGCCACTCAAAGAGATTGGAAAATAAATAAAGAACCAGAATTTATATCGATCAGTAGGATGAGAAGATTGTTGTAGATTCAAGTACAAAGTAATAAAGTTAATGTATAAAGAGTAATATTGATCTGAATTGAGAATTAAATGAATTGAATATCACAATTAAGAACAAAATTTAACAACAACAATCAACGAAAGAAATTGATAAACTCCAGAAATATCATCACATTGAGCAAAGAATCTGAGTTTTAATGGTTAAAAATAATATTCTAACTTTTATATTATCGGTTGTTAATATTTCTCAGCACAATTAAACTAATTAAAAGTAAATAATTCATCAGATATTAATATTAGATGAAGAAATCAAGAGGAAAAAAGTTCTAAAAGATTGAAAATATTGATCAATTTTTAGATTAAATTTTTATTCTTAATCAATAACAAAATCGTTATAATAATAGTAAATAAATTGAACTTTTTCCTCTCGCAACAATTTAAAATAATGAAACGGTAATTAAGGTAACAACAATTAAAGAATAGAAAATTAAACTAATCATTATCACTAATTAAGTAACTGTTTGAATTTTTTACCTATGAATTTGTATTTGTTTCCATTGAGACGTTAATTATTGAATGGAAATTGTTTCAATCATTGATTGGACTCTATTTACAATTAATCTAATACTATATTAACAGAAGAGTAATTTAATTGACAAGAAAATTAATTATTGATTCAACTAAATTAATCTTTGATGGATTAGTAATTTCTTAATTTCCTATTCCTTTCTTTGTGTAAATATCAATCAATGGATAGTAACTTACATAATAGATTGAGAGAGGATTAATTTTTCGTTTGGATATTAAGATAATTAGATGATTGTGATTATCAAATTAAAGGTGATTAACTGTTAAATCAACAAGAAGGTTACTTAATTTAGTTTCATATCAATAATTACATGAAAAATAAATCAATAAGCTTTGTTATCAAGTCCATTCACTGAGATATTATTGTTATGTGATTTTTATCCTTTTTTTCATGATGAACTAATTTCTTCATGATAATATTTGTCTATCTCTGAGGTTTACATTTAATCAGAGTATTTAATGTAATCAATATGATTCCCTGTTTCCACCTACGAATAATTTGATGATAACTGTAATCATTTCAATGGCTCATGGTACAAAGGGAAATGTTCATGTAATTCTGAAAGTGTTTTATTCATTTTCTGTTCCATAATATTATCAGATAAGTTTTACATCATCTAAACTCCAGAAGGAATCATTATCCGTTATTATCATGATTTTCGGTGTTTATTTCCATTATTATTACAATATTATCTCCATGATGTCAACATCAAGTGCGTCTCAAGATTGAAGGAAGAAAAAAACAATGAATAATTCACATGAATGCTCAATGGGTTATTGCTCAGAGGAATTGTCAGAATTGTTGGTGGAAAAGTTTAACTTTTAACTTTCATCCTGTAAATGTGAATGGGTCAAGAAAAAAGAAAAGCTTGTCCACTATCATGGATCATGATTACGATCAAGTGAAAGTGGAAATGTCTTACAAACACATTGAACAAACAATTATGAGTGGGAGGAAAAAAATATCAAATAAGTGATGAGGATAAAGTGGATCAATGATTGGGCTCTGATGAAAAGCTCAAGATGAAACATATACACAATATTCAACCATGGAAAGTATTATTATTATGATGGATGACAGGGAAGAGGATATATTATATTACTCAGTCAATTGTTTGTATATTTAAATCACAAGAAGTTGATCAATTCATCAAGATTCATCTTTCAATAGTAAAAATTGAATAACAAATGGATCATCATGTTGATGATATTTTCTCAATCAACGTCATTGAGGAATCAATGAAACCATGATGATAGACCAATAGTGATAACAATAATATGGAAGGATAAATATTGAAGGTTAGGAATAAGATATGGTGGTGATAATGGTTAATGATCATGAAATAATCAGGGTGATTAATCAGTAATCATAATAGTAAGTTGGACTCACCATTTCCAATGGCTCTGGTTTGTTTTGAAGTTTCCAACGAGGAGGAATCTAATCTCATCTTTCAATTACCATTGATCACATTTAATTCCCTAATTTTTGAACCGATTAGTTTGTTAATTGTGAGCTTGGAAAGAAACTTAATTATCCGATTAAGGTTCTATCAAGAATATAAAGCAAATTATCCAATCCAAGTTCAAATCTATGATCAATATGGTTCGAGGTAAAGTTTTATCGATGGACAAAAGGAAAATGTCAATATAAAAGTTATATACACATTGAAGGTAAACACTAAATGCACATAAACAAAATGATGAGAGAAGGTTAATTAATCCTTTTCATTGGATAATCATGTTGAAATTTTCTCTCTTTATATTTTATTTTTTCTTAGTCTCAATCGTAAATAATGTTCAGATAATGACGATGGAACTCACAAGATGATGGAGAATATGATAGAAAGGAGAGAGAGAGAGAGAGAGAGAGAGAGAGAGAAAGAGGATAAAACTCTCATGTCAAAGGAAAAAGGAGAATATGAATGAGGAGAGAAAAAAGTTACACAGGAAAAAGCGACAGACTCACAAGGAGGAGAAAAGAAGAGGAAGAAGATGAAGATGAGGAGAAAAGGGTGAGGATGAAGATAAGGTAAAAAGAAGACGCAGTGTGGAAGAGAGAGCGAGAGAGAGAAAGAGAGAGATGGAGGGAGGGAGAAAAATCGAAGGAAATTCAACTGGGAAAGTTAAGAGAATAGGAGAAATTCAATGATAACCATGAGGGTGAAAGATTTTCTTTCATGACGTTTTTTACGAATTCATTGATCGATTTTCTCATCATCATCATCATCATCGTCTTCTTCATTCCCACTTACATCTCTTCTTTTTCTTCCTTTTCTTCCATATCTTCAATCTACTATTTATCATTCTCACTTTCCACTCCAATCCCTCCAAGAGACTCTTTTCCATGGTGGATCAATTTTCCTTCATCTGACCTGCTCTAGACAAAAGCATCTTCTTGCCATGCACCGAGTTATTCAATAGAGATCCTTACACCTTATCGAATGAGAATTCAGTCCAGTCTAATGTTCATATTCACTTTTTTTTATTCGACTTTAGTTTGACATTTCGATTTCGATTTCATCTCAATTCTAACCTTCATCATTTTCTCACACATCTAATCACTTTCACTCGATTATTTATCCATCTGAATATTACTTTTTCTTCCCATGTTATTAGATTTCAATACTTTCCTTATATTCACTCAGACTCATTGAATTTTCACCCAGAAAATTTAAATCAACCAATTTTACCTCTTCTACTTTTATAATATCAAATTGATTGTCAAAGGAATTAAATTAATTGTATTACATATAATGTAAATCTTTTTATTACTTGTAAGAGTAATTTAAATTCAATTGATATTGTCAATCTTTCAATTGGATTTGAATTATTCCGAATTTGCTCAGAAAAGTTAATCATTATTACAAACTAATTGTGTGTTCATTTGTTTATTAATCATAATTAATATAAGGACAAGATTTTTATTTTGATTGTGAACAAATTGACAGGAAAAGAAAGTGAAAATTCAAGCAATTCCACAAAATATCATTCAAATTAAACTAATTGTAATAATATAATTTATCAATTTCCAATTGATATTATTTAAATATTGCCAAAAAGATGCTCTCAAAATATTGTTTGTTGATTATTGTTAATTGTTGTTTATCCATCTCAATGCACAGACAATTACAATCAGTTGATTAGTCTGTTTTCTTGACGATAATGTGTTGATGTTATTGTTTTTTTTTTGGTTCTTTTATAGCTTTTTTTTTCATTAAATCATTTTTTTAGGCGATTTGAATTATAGCTCTGAGCTGATTTGTTAATCAAACCAATTTGAATGATGATCTGATGATTTGATGAATGAGAAAAATATTGTCACACAAAAAAATCACTTGTGTACCTGAAGATTGTTGAATGATGAACATGATGATGATAATGATAATGGCAAAGAATAGGAAGAAAAATGATAACAATTAATTTTTCCAGAGGTTGTTACACAAATCGGAGTAAATTGTTGGTATTGATTGAGAAAATGTCACGATTTTGTCCTTGGGGTGGTGGTTCAAGTTTATAGTTAAGTGTTACAATAATCAGTTGGGAGTTTTTAAAAACAACAATTAAATTAGATTGATATTAGTTTGACTTAGCAGCACTCGGTGGGTTTTGGTGGAGGTGGAGGTGGAAAAACAAAACAATAAATGTAACAGTTATAAATTATAAAACATATGATTGAGGTTATTTGATTATCCAAGATCATCAACATGTAAGGAGGAGGAAGAGGAGGAGGTGGAAGAGATTTCAAATTAATCAAATTTGAGTTGACAAGTTAATCAAATAATCTGATGATTAACTATTGGCATAAGTTTGATACATTGTAAGAGGAGTTAAGTGGAGTGGGTAAGTTAACCCACTTTGTATTATAATATTAGGTGAAGGTAAACTTTGTATTATTTTCAATTACTTCATCTCAATTGAAATTGAAAATAAAATCAATTGAGGTAACAAAAAATCAATTTAACTAATAATCTGATCATCTATTTACAATCAGTTGAGTTTTGACGATGGTTATGATGATGATGACAGTGAAAGATGATGATTGTAGTAGTACAATTAACAGGAAGAGGGAAAAATTTTCAATAGTTAACAATAATTCATGGTAGATTCATATTCAGAGATGAAGATGAAAAGGATAACAAGACACAGAGATGAGGAGAGAAAAAATTATCTCCAAGGGTGAAATTCATTTCCAAATTGATGTGAGAATGATTTTGGTTGGTTTGCTTTCTTAACTTTTATGTACATTGATTTTCTGTGGTGGATTCGATGGTGGGTAATGTAAATCTTCAATTTCTATCCTCTTTTCCCTCCTATTGCTTTGTATTATCATTAATTGTTATTGTTTTTGTGGTGAAATTAATGGTTGTATTGGATTGGATGTTTGTGTCTCCCATTTTCAAAGTTTTCAATTGTCACTCGTTTAATTTTTTTTTGTGATTTCAAGTTATCGTTGAAATTTTGAATCTCGTAATTTTTTGTTTGGTTTTGTAAATTGTCCCGAAAGCAGGAAAATCAAAAAAGTCTTTGCAAAGTAAAATCAACAATTAAGGATCAATGACTAAATTTCAAATCCAATTTTGTATATCAGCAGGCGAAAAGTAAAGCGTTGATTTCAATTCCAAAACTAAACATAAAAAAATGACAAACTCTGGAAAATAGAAGAGAAAAATGAACAATTAGTAAATTTAGTTTGTAGTTATGATGATTAAGGATTGGGCAATCATTCTGATAATTAATTAGCTGAATATATGATTATTTAAGTGACAATTGAATGGGGAAAAAAACGTTGATTGTTTATAATTAGAGGTTACGGTTATTTGAGTTTCCGTGTTGATTTAATCGTTGATGTGACTACGTGCTATGATTAGATTGTGAGTTTTTTTTTCAACTATTGTTGATAAGTAATTAACATGACCATGAAAATCAAGATTAGATTGTGATTGTTTTGGTTAAAGATAATCAGTGATAGACAAAAGAAAAAGGAAAATATGTTGAAACAATCGTTTGGATGAGCGTTTGAAATGTGGGTCAAGATGTCGGATTATGTTTACCAACACGTACCCGTGGTCTTTAAGTGGTGTCATTGTTGTCCAATTGGAACTAAAACTTGAACATAACTAATTGGGAAGATTCCAGTTTTTCCATTAATGGTTCCTTCGAACCAATTGTCGTCCAGTTTTTGATTCAATGTGATGATATCTCCTTCCTTGAATCCCAATTCTCGAGGATTTTCAGCATCAAAATCGTACAATGCTTGGCAACATGGACCTCGGCTGACCGGTGTTCGAGCTGGAGAACGGACAGGCGATGGTAAAGGAGATGCTAATGTTTTAGGATCAATTATTGATAAAATAACGAAAAAGAGTAGCACAAAATGCGAGCAATTGTTCAAATTGTGAGAATAGGAATTGCAAAGGAGAAAGGAAAAGATATTGATTGTGGTGGTGATTTGGGTGATAGATGATTTAATGCAAGGTGATTGTGATTGATTCGTTGATGAATTGATCGATCGACAAATTAATCAATTAATGTTAGTAAAATGAGAAACGTCAACAAAGTGATAAAATTGTAACACAAGAAAAACAGAAAATTTGATCAACAGAAAACAACATGAGAACATAAAAAGATAAATCAAGAAAAAAGGATGACAAGAGAGGGAGAGAAATGAAAACATATCATGATACAAATAAAGATGAAGTCAATGTCGTAAAGGTGAGAGAACCATTGACATTCATCATTATCATCAAATTGATACGTTGGAAGATGGAAAAGTAACAATTAACAAAACGCAAGGTGAGAAAAAAAAGCGAAGCAAAGGTAAATTGTGGCAAAAGAAATGCAATTGTGGAGAGAAAAAGAAAAGAAAAAAGAAAATGTTAGTGGGGAAATTAAGTAGACCGTTAATTTAGTTTAATTGTGACTAAAAGTGATTTAAGACTTAAGCTCTAAGCTGTTTTAAGCTATTGGACATTTGAATTTAGTGTTAGTACCATTGGGAGATTTAGAGTTAGCTCCGTTAGTGGGACAGTTCAACAGAAGTGACGAAGGAGGTTTCGTCGGAGAAGTGGCCGGAGACCTTGCAGGAGAAGCTGGAGCTGTATAAACCCACCGAAGACGAATCAGTTGAACCAAGAGAGAGAAAGTGAGAGAGAAGTAAGAGCGATATAGCGAGAGAGAGAGAGAGAGATTAAGGGATAAAAGATGGACGAAATTGATGAAGCAATTGAAAGCATGATGATGAAAACATAGAGAGGAAGATAACATATAAATCGTGTGTTAGTATGAATTGAATCAAAACAATTAGAGAGACAATTAATTATTAAAGCTCACCGTAAAGCCGACACCAAATAAGTTAGAAATGTAAATAATACAATTAAAAACAAATAACTAATAACTAACTATTAATAACTAAATGAATAAGAAAATTAATGAAAATCAATGTTATTTATAAGAGGAAGGATAAAAAAACTGAAAGGAGGAAGAAGATTGTTATTAATCATTGAAATTAAGATTTCCATTCAATTTAGAATCTAAATCTAATTTCTATAACCCTTGAGGCTATTTAATCTCAATATTTGATCACATTAGTAAATGTAATAACTATGAGATAATATTGAAAAAATGTAATAACCTTTTCAAGGAGAAATATACTGAATATTATTATCATCATTAGTTGATAATTGAAGCAAGCATTTCATTTATCAACTATTAGATAAATAAATCACCATAATAGTGATAATAATAATCCATAACAATCATCAGTTATATAAGAAGGGGAAAATTAAAAAGTAAACAATTAATAATAGAAAATAAAATATTACTATTATGATTTACGTTGGTTACGGTTTTACCGTTTTTAAGGTGAGCAGAATAATTGTTGAAATGAGAATAGAAAATATTTGAACCATTGGTGTGTCCTGGTGTCTCTCCTCCAGGAGTAAGATCATCATGATGTGGAAGCTGAATTTCCTCAATCTTTTTGGGCACATAAGGTTTAATTGGTTGTTCAGCGGATATCCGTTTCCTGGAATAAATTTTATGAGAAAAATGTATTAAAAATGAGAAACATTGTGTGTATATAAATATTATCTTCGCCATAATCAACTACTAAATAGGATTAATGAATATGATAAGTAAGAAAATAGTATGGACGAAAAGGGAAGAGACTATGGGGAGAAAGGGTGACAAAAATTGATTTTGAGTTGGATTAACGTACTGATCAGCAAGTCGAGATGTCAAACTTTCCAAAATGGAGGCACACTGGGAATGGTATTCGAAGAGTGCCTCTGATAGTGCTACCAATTGTGAAATTTGTTCGGGTTCATTTTGAAGTAAATTGTGCATTCCCATGGAAGCGCAATTAAATGATTCCTCGAATTTATCTTCCGCCGTTTTAATATCTTCTTCGGTAACATGGCCTCCTGAGCGTTTTTTCCGTTTCTTACAATCAAAGTCCAATCGTCGAGATTCAAGTTTCTTTCGATGATGCTAAAAATTAACAACAATTTAAAAAGAAACAATTAGTATAATCAATTGAAATGATGGAAAAGACAAAACAATCAACAGCAGAAAATATATTTACATGTAACTATTATTATTTGATAGAAAAGAGATCGATAAAGTCATTGGACTGTTCAAATCAATTTGAGACAATTAAGGAAAATCTAATTATTATATATATAAGATGATGAGCTAACGACTAATGGATCTGAAAGACTGTTAATAATTTGATGATGACAATCAGTGAACATGTTAATCAAAAAAGAGCAAAATAAATTACAATAGACACATAGAGATGAGTATAAGTATAGAAATTTCCATAGGAAATATGAATGTTTCTAAATTGATGGAGAAACTTAATTTAGGTAAAAGTATGTTGATTAAATTAAATATTAGAACAATTACTTTTTTTCGATTAACTTCATTGCTATTTACTTATATTACTATATTTAGATTGTGATGATGATGATGATGATAAAAGGCGGAAGAGAAGGAGGAAACTAAGAAAAGGAAGAAAATAAAAAAAAATAAGATTGTCAATCTCAGGTGAACAGATCAATAGTTATTATTTAATTTCTGCGTAATAATAAATATCAATTTGATTGTTACTATTGAATTATTATCGTTAGTAAGAGATTTAAATTATGTAATAGTTTTACAATAATTTGACTACAATTAATGATCTAAATTTGATAGAAATTATTTTCAAATTTTATCATGTCAAAGTTAAGTTTTTCTCAATCTTGTCAACCCAATTTCATGATTGATGATATTGATTAATTTTGATGGAACAAACAAAATGTAATTAACTAATCAATTGATAAAAATTTAATTTAATCTTTGATTAATGTTACGGGAATGAGGGAGAAAATCTAAAATTTGATTATTACATGGGAGAATTGAAAATGTCCATGATTCAGTAATTTCTATCTCATTCTCATATTGATTAGTGGTTGGTCTCTCTCTCTCTCTCTCTCATCGTCATTACTATTACATGATAATCATCTTTCATGGTCTTTATCATTATTTCAAAAACTTTCATCGCTTTTGTTATATTTATACTGAATGATAATAATGATTCAGGATGAATTTGAAACATCATCATGTAACTAGATCGATGAGTAAAAAAAATGACCTGATATGGATTCGCTGCAATAACATGAACCATATCATGAAGATCATGATAACATATCATCATCAGCCATCAATGGGACATAAACAGGTATAAATATGTTAATTTTTGTTATCTAATTGTTATTTAATTCAAGTCTAGGTCAGTGTTTAATATTAGGATGATAAAAGTAAACGTGAATGAAAAAGTTTCATTACTGTGATGAATGTAGGTGAACCTTTTTTCCCTCTCTATTTCTCATAACCACCATGAGCCCTTGATCATGTAAACTTGAATCATCCCATGAAAATAATAAATATAATAAACTACATGACAAAGAATTGGTTTAATTGTTTGTCAAACACACAAATCAAATGGACAAAGAGGAATAGGAAAATTTAATAAGATAATTGAATCGTTTCAATTTTTCTATTTCTGTTTCATCTGAAACTCATCTATTAAATGTAATATAAAAAAAGTACTTGTATTCAGGTATTGATAGTAATGATGATATTAATAGATGAAAATGTGTATTAAGTTAAGATGAAATTAAATTATCAAATAAATCAGATGATAAATATATATTAATAATATTAGTAGTTAATAATGATTATTGTCGTCATCATGAAAAACAACAATCAACTGTCACTGAAAGCTGAATCGAGTTAACAATATATAAGACATTTGAGGAAAGCTACTGATCAATGAATCAACAATCAAAATAATCAATTGATTATGAAGAATGAGGGATGATTATGATGATGATGGAAAAATACATAGATGAGAGAGAGAGAGAGAAAAATCATTTAGAGCGAGATCGCCAAAATTCACTCAGGGAAAGAAAAGGAGGAATCTGAGAACTTCAACTAAATCTTTGTAAATCTTTCGCTTCCTAATTCCTGGTTTAGGCTTAGTTTCTCGAGGGGTTGGCGAACTTTAATCTCAATCAAAATTGAAAATTTCTCTCTGTCTCTCTCTCTCTCTCTCTCTCTCTCTCTCTACTCACTCTTTCTCTCTAGAGAAGATAGAAAGTAAAAAAGACAGAGAAGATGATAAATCAGGAAAAGCGAGAAAAGAATATTTGACTTTTCGATTATTGTGAGCAAGAAAAAAGTGTCTGGTTCTGATGGAGTGAAAATTCTGGCTCAGTAACATCTTTTACGTTCCAAATAGTCACAGTAGAAAACGATAATCATGATAATAATAAAAGTGATGATGATGATGATGATGATAATAATAATAATAATGCGCAAACTATTCAAAAAATCAACTAATCTTTAACCAGAATGAAAATCGTATCATGAAAATCCCATAGACATTTTTCTTTCACTTTCTCTGTTTTATTTCATGAGACATGATAATAAAATTGAGTATCTTCATTGTGTGATTTTTGGTTATTAATCACCAACGGAAGTAGCCATGAACTAACAACAATTAACTAGCAACAAATGACCTAAATTATAAGATATTTACTTAATAAATATTATAAGAAAGAAAAAACTATTTATCAACTGACTAGACACTTTTCATCGCTATTGAAACAACATGAGAAGTTTTTTTTTTCATTGTTATCATTTTCATCATAATCATAATCATAGTTATCATACGTTGATAGTACAATATGTATGATATTAGTTATCAAATGGAAGGAGAAATGTCAAGATAAATAGTAATGAAATTGTTTTTGGTGAATGTTTGATGATGAGTAAGAAGAGAGTCTTGTTAATTTTGTTAACTGAATTAGTGATGGTTATTGTCTGAAGGATGATGCAAATGTTGATTAGATCTTAGATTTATATTGTTATATGAGAAAGAAGAAGATTGAATTGATTGAAGAAAACGAAAGGACATTTAGAAAGAATGAAAGATAGAGAGAGAGAGAGAGAGAGAGAGAGAGAGAGAGAGAGAGAGAGAGAGAGAGAGAGAAAAGAACTTTTAATTGTTTCTCTTACCAAAACATCTCTAATGTCTTTAGTTTGTAGATGAGTTAATGGTTCTAGGAAATTCTGTTTCACATTATCTTCGAGAGCGAATTTGACCTCAGACATTTGTCGAAGAGCTTCTCCCATTTCAACGAGACTTTGGCCTACAATCATCAAAGATGAGGATGACAAAGGAGAGAGAGAGAAAGTCAATTATTATCATTGCTCATGAACCTTTCGTTTTTTTTTTGGTCAAACCATTTCGATTTGATTGTATTTAGTTTATAATTGGAAAATAATCATATAGACTAACCAAAATCACTTTCCTCTCCCATTTTACGCCCATATTTAATCATTGATTCACCGAGAATTCCTTCTGGTTGATTGTATGCATGTCCTTTGGCTGATTGAACCTTCGAAGTAACCGTAAGTTTGGCCCTAGTGGCTGAAGAGATAAGAGAAGATTAAACAATAAATTGAAAGATTAAAGGTAACGGATTAAACTTAGATAATACAAGTTATCACTTAGAGATTGGTAGTAATAACATTAATCAAGGTAAATATAATCAATTGTGAGTAATTAACATACCAGGATTGGGTTGGAGATACTCTTTTGTTTTAACAATCATCTCGTCGACTAATTCAACAGTCGCATCAGTTTTCTGGTTTTTATCGAAAATTGTGAAGATACCAAAAAGAAAATAAGTGAAAAAAAAAAAAAGAATCCATTAAACATTCAAGATACTAAAACATTTGATTTTAACATTTTCATTGTTAAACTTGTAATTAGCAAATTTACTGCTAATTAGAAAGATTGTTGATATATTTACCTTTTCCATTTCATGGTAGTCATCAGTGAACTTGGTGCCTTCAACGGCACCCATTTTTTCACTCATATACTGAAAGATTGACACAGAAAAAGAGTAAGTGAGAGAGAAAGAAAGGCAAAAAGAAAGAGGTAAATAGAGAACAGAATAAAAAAAGAGAACAAAAAAGATGAGAAACTGAGGTCAATCAAACGAAACATAAAGACCGAGGTGAGAAAGGAAGACGTAAATTAGACAATTACCTGATTAGCCTTGTTAATTTGTTTCTTTAAACCAGCTAAAGCCATGGTGATAATTGGAAATTAACTTAATTAACAATCAAAACAATTTACCACCAGCGAAGCAAATTCAACACAAATTCAACCAAAATCAGTTGTTCTTGAATAACAAGTTGAAAGGATTTTAATTCGGGACTCGAACCGAAGAGTATCCGATATTTAGAGAAATTAGAATCCACCAGATGGCGCTCTCATTGTATTCTTTTTGTTTCTGTTAATTGTTAAACTTTATGATGAATTAAAATTTCAATCATTCGATGGTTTAATTGTTAATTGTAATTGTTTAATCAACTAATTGGTTAACATTTTGGATACTTTGTCTTTTCTGCTCCTTTTGATTAGATGCTTGTGATTTCAACTGAATTAGTGTTAATTTGTAAAGCCTTTGCATCTCATCTTTTTGGGCCAATAGTTTATTTTTCCATTCTTCCCATTGTTGACCATATTCTCGATATAATTTGGGATCACTATAATTGATATTAGCTTTTCTCCAAGCTTCCAGTTCCCGTTGCCATTCAAGGTATTGAATATCAAATTCTTGTTGCTGATTTTTAAGATCACTCAAAACCTTTTGTTGTGTTGGATTAAGATAATCAACCCAATTCGGATCTTCAAACTCGTCAGTCATGTTGGTTGAAGCCATTGGTCCCTGAAACAGAAAAGAGAAATAAATTTAAAATTATCGTTTGATTAGTACAATTGCTATCAACTGGTGGCAACAATATACGAAGATCACTATAGATCGTAACATTATCTCTGATGATGTCGAGAAGCTTTTCAAAAGTAATAACTATTGTTACTATTTAACCAGGAGACGAATACATTATGAGGCTTTCACTTCACGGAAAATAATTGCACCGATAAATATGAATTTATTTGGAATATTAAATTTACTGTTTTCTGCTCAAAGTAAATGATGAAGTAAAAAATTTCTGCTTGATAGCCGATGAAGCGATAAATGTTATAAGAGAGACTCTAGGTATTCACAGTGACAGGAGATGAGTTAATGAGAGAATTGTTTAATCAACTAAATTAGTATATTAACTATAATTGGGGTTGTGTTTTTTGTTTGTGTTGTGTGTCTTACACAATCTTTACAGATTACAAATTGATCACTTGATTGAATAACGGAAATTTGGAAACAACAATTAAAATATGAGAGAGAAAATGATAAGATAATAGGAAAACCTATGAATGGAAAGAGATATCAAGTTGATGATGAAATTATGACAATTAAGTGGGTGGTAAAGTTTAAATGATTACAACAGTTTTGGGAGAGAATGACAATTATCAATTTAGATGATTAATTATATAAATTTAAATTGGTAACATGTTTAATTATAAAGAGGTGATGATGATGATAATGGTGATGGTGGTTTCCTTTTCCTTTTAAATTGTTTGTCGCCAAAAGTTAATTGTTAATTAAGAGGTTAGTTGATTAGTTAGCGGTAATTTTCTTATAATAATATCAATATGTTTGAATATAATTTATATATAAAATTGATTTCCAATTTTTATCCAAATCAATCTCAGTGAAAGTTAATGAGTACAATTATATTATTATTATTATTATTAATTAGTTAATTGTTATAAGAAATTAATGAGATCTTTTTGTTTTCAAGAATTTAGATTTTCTCTTAAATTATGTCAAGATTAATTGTCTTTTTTGTTCCTTAATTTTTTCTTATGTCCAATTAAATTCTAAGTTGATTAGAATTTTTATCTTTCTCTTGTGTTTTTTTTGGTAGTTTAACGACAATTTACTTTTTGATTGTTTTCATTGATTAAATTTAGTTTTTTTAAAGTGAAAGATAAATAATCAGGCAAATCAGATAATTAAGTCTCTTCCACATCAAAATATTAAATTTGACTAGTGATTCAAATGAAAGAGTAAATTAATCTTTACACTGAATCTTTTTTTCTATCATGTTGAACAATTAACTAAATTGTTCAATCCTGGTCGATACTTATATCAATACATAAATACAAGCGTATGAATATATCAATAATCAAGAATTAATTAATTGAGGTTCTATTTAAATAGCAAAAGCAAAAGAAAAAGTTAGATTGAGATTCATAGTAAAAACAATTACTATCTAAATGTTTTGTTCATCAATCAGTTGATTTTGTTACTTGTTTCATGTGTTCATTGATTAATTAAGTTGATTAAGTTGAAGATGACGTTTCTTTAAATGCAAAATTCACAAACATTTAACTGCAGATTGTTGGAGCTGTCGATAATTTGTTGATTATCTTCATCTTTTTCTTTTCCTCTGAGTTGGTTTATCAAATCAATTCTTGATTGGATTGGTTGAAATGCTTCCGTTTCCGTATTATTTTGATCTTTATATTATATGAACTCGTTCCTCTTCATTACAAAAAATATAATCAAATTGATCGATCATGGTTTGAACTGATTCCTCTAAATGTGGCCTCATCCTTTCAAACATGAGCATATCAGTGAATTCAAAGGGTAACAGGGTGGGCCACCAGCATATTGCCAAGTTTTTACTGTCCATACTGTTTAAACGACTATTTTCAGTCACTCTGTAAAAAACGAAAACGATACAATTAACAATTATAATATCAGTTAATCGTTATTGTTGTGCTCCAAAACTTACTTAACAAAATGACGGAATACAAATTTGAGTATTTCAAAGTTTGCCGGAGGTAATTTACGAATTAGCTCTTGTAAGGCCACAAGCCTTTCATTTCTATCGGGTATTCGAGAGACAACATCAGTTAATTCATCCATCATGTAGCTTGGAATCAATTGGGGAAGACGTTTTGAAAAGAAATCTTTTAGTGCTGTGGCCACCGCATTAACGGGTATATCCAATTCTTTGATGGACACATTTGGATCTAAAGGTAAGAAAGAGATAAATTGTCAGGTTAGTTTCGAATTGAAATGTGAATTAAACTTTCCAAGAAATTTACCTTCGTCGAAATTATGAAACAATAGATCAACATGAGCTCGATTTCCGGGAACTCGGTAAATTCCTTCAGAATCAAGACCTTCCTCTTCGATAAAGGTGATACATTTATCGACAAACAATGGGATCGCATTTGTTTCTGATTGAGCAAATTCTTCGAGAACTGGACCTGAACTGCTTGAATTAGATTTTAATTGTTTCTTTTTCTTCTTCTCAGCATTTCGACGTTGCCTTTCCTCTTCCTTTAATCGACGTTTCTCATTTTTTTCCTCTTCTCGCAATTTTTTCTTCTCCTTTTCTCTTCTCTCCTTGTTCAATCTTTCAATGTCATTCACCACCGAGGCTGATTTACTTTTCAAAACCATTCCAAGTTGTTTGATTGCTGCATCATTGGCAGTTAATTCAAAATCATCATCTGGTGGAGCATGAAGACAAGCCAGTGGATCAATTTTCAATTTAGCTGTAAAATTAAATAGACAACAAAGTGTATTAATAATCAAGTTTAAATGATTGAACAAAAATATATTCCAACAGCATAAACAAAAGATACAAAAAAATCAAGCAAATCAATGGAAAGAAGATAATTAAAAAAAACAGAAAACAAAAAGGTTAACGATTAGAATCATTCATAAATAGTGGACGATTAATGGGTTAACACACAACTACAAGGAAACTTGATTAGCAAAGTTGCCAGGTTCATGTATTGATTAATTGTTTTTTTCTTAATCAGCCAATAAGACAGCTGATTAAATTTGATAATAGATATTCATTAGCCAAAGTGCAGGTTCAATGATTGATTAATATTGTTAATTGATAATGGGTAAAGAATTAATAAACAAACTTATTAATCAATCTTCTTGACTATATGGCAATGAAAAAAAATGCTATTATAATCAATACAAGAGATCGGGAATTGAATGTGTTTGATTAACTAGTTGGGCTTATGGTGGATTCATCTAGATGGATTTTCATGATAAAGGTAGTGCAAAATTGGATAACAATTAGTTAATTGTCATTCTGGATAGTGAGACATGATGATGATCAGTGGGTGAATCGTAAATTCATCATGAACACACACACAACAGAGACCATTGGTTGCACTTCACTTACATGAAGAAGCTGAATATGGTAGATGAGCACCAAAAGTGAAACTTGGATCAGATGATCGGATAAATGAATATGATTGATTGTAATTAAGATTCTCAGGTGGAGACTGAGGTGAACCTGTAGTATTAGTGGTAAATGTTTCAGGTATGGAATGAGATTGAACGGGTTTAGCACGACGGCGAGGTAAATGAAATGATCGCTTATGCTTATTTTTACCCATGTTCACAAGTTCATTAACGTTCTGATGGTGAGGAGGTGGGAGTGGAGGTGGTGGTGGAGGTGGTAGGGTTAGAGGGTGGCGGTGGTGTGAATGAGGAAGTGGAGGAGGAGGAGGCTGATGGTGGTAAGTATATTGATGATATTCAGATCTACTAATATTCATTATGTTACTCGTTGATGGACCAGTGTTAATACGACTAATTGGATTTAAATTACTATCGATAAAATTGTTCGGTAAATTGTTGGCACTATTATCAAAATCATCAACAGAGGTCATTCTCCTGTAACTATTTGGGTTGTTTGATGTAACCACATCACCTAATATCAAATGAGATGTTTCATCGTCCCCTGAATTATCTGAACGACTATTGTAACCAGTTACTCGAACTGTGAGCATCCCATTAACAATAAATGTATTATGAACAATAAACAAATAGACAAAAAAGAAACAGAAAGGGAAAGGGAATGAAATTAAGGCAAAGCACGAGGATAAGAGAGTGAAGAAAGTGAATGAGAGAGAAAGAGAGAGATGAGGAATACGAAATGATTTAGAGAAAGAAAAAGATAAAGATAATAACAGAGTAAATAATTGATCGCAAGTAAATTGGTTAATTTTGATTAGATGATTATTATTATTAGATTAGAAGTCCTCGTACCTGGATCATAAGTGTCAAGAGAGGTGGGACCTAAAAGCCGAGGAGGAGGATGAGCGGACGTGGTTGATGATGAGGCTACTGATACACCAGCAGATGATAAATTGGTAGTACTGGAACTGTGCTGTTGACCAATTGATGATGAGGACTGACCAAGATTATTTGGTCCATCGAAAGAAGGTAATCTGGGTGGGGCCACGGGTATTCCTCGTTTTTTACGCATTTTCTTATGAGATCCAGTTTTACGATTTGAACGGTTATAAGGATCTCTCTGTAATCGTTCAAGTGAACTCCAGTCACTATCAGAATCAGAGCCTGATCGTTAAGTTGGTTAAATTGTTAATTGAAGCGTTTAAATAGCAATTTAAGCAATTGAAATGGAGTTAGCGGGTTAGATTAAGAAAGACGGTCGATTTAGAGACAAGAGACAATTTCATAGGATATGATAAAGATGACGAGATTATAATAGACGATGAAAAAATGGTGAAATAAGAGATACGGAAATGAAGAATATAAGACAATTACAATTACGTAAATAGGAAGAATTATGATTACGGTGTTCAACTTTTACAATTACTCTATGAAAGAGATAAGTTGATTAGTATAATTAAAAGAATAATTTACCTTTTTCGAAGGAGGAATCTTTGTTTCGACGAGCAAGAGAGCGTATTTTATGAGATTTTCCGTCTGATCCTGGAAAACCAGCGTAGGGATAAGCATGACGATCGTGGTAAACATCCTGAAAGAATACAATTAAAATGTAAGATTAGATTTGAACACAAGTATATCATTGGAACTGTTGCTTGGCTTGATATTTACTTTGGTTTTCGAGTATTCTAATGAAAGGTCAAGCGATTCCGATGGAGCGGATTGACCTCGATTTTTAACCAGCATTCTTTTATCAGGTACAGAAGTTAAATTCATACGACCGACCGCGTCAGTTATATTGTCGAATTGTTTTAAATTGATTTTTCCAGGCTGAATGTAAGGAAAACATAAAACAATTTACCAATTATGATTTAACATTTGAACAAAATTTACACAAAAATACCTTTGGTTTGAGTGGCTTTGGCTTTAAAGGCGGTGGACCCTGGAAGTAGCCTTGAGAAGCGGCTTCATTGTCAAGATATTCATCTCCTAGTTGACTACGGTCATAAGCTTCCATCCAACCTGATAATTAAGATTAATTAGTTAGATTGGTGATCCATTGTTTGGATAAGATAAATTTACCTTCATCGAAACTCCTTTGACCAAGAAATGGATGACCAGATACAGGAAGTGATGGCGCTTTACGCAAACGATTGGGCGGTGGAAGATCGGGTGGTGCTGGTTCTGGTGGCGGTGGATAAGCTCCGTAACCTAAGATTTCAAGGAAGATAAATATAAAAATTTATTATCCATTAAGCTGATTCATTTGTTTTTTACCAACAGCTTACAACTTATCATATTTTTACATTAAGGTCGAGTAGTGAAAAATTTTCAATGATAATTATTATAATAACTTTTATTATAATGAATAATAAAGTAAACAATAATAGAAACATCATTTAAATTGTGATTAAAATTAATTTAATATCATTTGAAGGCTGTTTTTCTTTTGATCAGTCTAAACTTGTTACATTCAATAAAATGACAATTTAAGTAAGTCATTTTTTAGTATCATTGAGCTAATAATCAATCAATATTAAATCCAGTCTTTAGATTGAGCTGATAATTAATTATGTCTCATCTACAATGAATAAATCTCTCTGATCGCTTAATTAAGATTGATTGGTAGATATTTTAATAGGAATTATTGATAAATTAGAATAATCGTCAAAACATTTACCTAAATCAGTGTAACAAAACAAATGGATTGTTAAATATCGTTGGTAATACATTTGAATTCAATTAACAGCACAATTAATTGCGTGAAAATCAATTGTTACAATGGTGAAAATGTCTGATGGTTTGTACACAAAATCAATTGGAGGAGAGGTTAATTGATCAGAGAAAACTTGAAAATTGAAACATTTAAATAATGAACAATTAATCGTATAATCAAATAAGTTGATGATCAGATTGAACAACAATTTAACTATTGACAAGGTAACTTGAAAAATTAACTATTTGATTTTTGATGAAATCAGGTTGATAACAATCATGAAAAGATGATCATCTTCACCATCGTCATCACTAACAATTTAATGTTTTAACATATAATCACATCATCATGAAATGATTAAATGATAAATCGTGATTTGTCATAAAATAAACAAGAAAACTTAATAACAATCAATAATAATGTTATCTAATTATTATCACTTCAACTGAATGATTAGAGATGAAACAAAATTAACCTTGATCATATTTTTAGCATCTAACTTAATTCTTGATTCACTTTGAATCTGTTAATAAGATGCTCGCTGTAAACATTAACAATTAAGCAATTTTAGTGAATTTAATTCAATTAACCAGTGATAATAATGCTAATTAAATTTAGAAACAATCGATTGCACTCAATCTATTACTATTTAATTGAATAGAGGTATAGACTCAATTATTGATTTAACAAGTTGATTAATGAGCCAAACCATCAATTAAAAAACTATCATAGGAATTGTTAAAATCAAATTGTTGTATATTGATTATAACAGTCAATTACATATTCGTATTAATATGTTTCCATTAAATCAAATAAATGTTTGATTCAAATTGTCAACAATTAAGGTAACATGTATGAAGTTAATTATCGCGATCATATGATTAAATAACATTGTTTACAAGACTGGAAATAAACTAATAAGATGATGAAATTACAGTAATTGTGGTGATATGTTAGACAAACAGAATTAACAATAGAGATAAAAATAGACAATTAAATTAGATGAATTTCATGTTGAGAAGAAATTAATTATTTTCTGGAAATTTTCTTATTGATCAATGATATGAATACACATCATATACAAAGAACCATCACCCTGATCAGATAAATAGTAATTTAATTTATATTAAAAGTGATAATATTCCCAAAAATAAATAATATCAGTTAATTAAGGAAAACAGATTATCATTTGATTGCAGATCAGTAAAAATATAGCTGTAAATTAAAGCAATTAACAGAGACTTGTGTCACAATTATCATATCAGGACTGAGCCGACAATGATTATGATCATCGTTGATATTGTATGATTGTAAAGAAAGTTAATTGTGACGTTAATTCTTGATTAAATTGTCTATTTTTTTGGTAGAAAAGGAAGATTTTCTTAAGAGAAGAGTGTAAAACAATCACATATAAAAGTAATGATACGGATGTTTAATTTACTCATTAGCTTAATTTCAATTAGTCAATTAATTAACAAAATCATAACTAATTGTTGTGTACCAAGTGACAAAAAACAAACCAGAAACAATTTAAAACAAACATAATCATCCTCATCATTGTCTAGTATTTACTCAAAGTACCAATCATCAACAATGAACAAAATTACTCTGATCAGTTTGTGGTTAACTGTTAGCATCAATCTAATTGGTGAGTATTTAACATTGAAAAAATAACGATTACTAAAAAACTAATCAATCTAATTAATTGTTTAGATGCTTCAACTACTGGATGCCATGTTAAGTGTTTCTTTGAATGTATGTTCAAGCCTGAACCATGTAAACTGGCTGATTGTCCTTGTCCTGATCAAGTTACAACTGATAGTTCAGCAACAATTAAGGAACCATCGACTAATAGCTCAAGTGAATCAACAACGATCACCCAATCAATAACAAATAACACCAGTAATGATACTATTGCTACTCAAGCCAGTCCATCACTAGTACCAACTGATAGGCCCAATGTAACTAATACGACAGCTAAACAATCAATTTTAATAACTAAATTAGTTGATTTTGTGATCAATTTGGCCAACTCAACCACAACCCCGGCTACAACACCATTAGTTAATTCATCCTCTGCTCTTCCGACAATCAACTCAACTCAAGAATCGGCTAATGGAACTGATTTAATTACCAATACAACAATTATATCAACAAATCAAGAGACAAATAATGTTACAACAAATCCAACTGTCAACTTAACCACTGATATTAACAATCAGACTCAGCAAATTATTACAGTTAATAATGATACTGAATCAATTGCTACAGTAACAGAAACAGCAAATACCATTTCTAATACTCTTAATTCAACAACAAATCCAATCACAAATTCAACTATTGGTGTTAGTAATGGTACTAATTTAGTTTTAAATGGAACCGTAGATGTGATTAATCAAAATGTAACAAGTAATAATTCAGAAGTATCAACAACAATTGCAACTATTGAAACTTTAATTGTCACAACAGTTGGTCCATCAACAACAATTAATGGATCTGAGGTTGTTAGTAATTCAACTAACGATGGACAGTCAATCAATGAATCTACAACGGAAACAACTGAAATAATTACTGAAAGTATGATTGTTACCACTGAAAATCAAACAATTAACAATACAAGCAGCTCGGTTGACAATTCAACAATCACAGAGGCGACTGTTAATGCTCAAGATATTACAACACCCAAAGGAGTCGTTGACAACAATCAAAATTCAACAGACGTTGAATTAACTACTGGTAATGATAATGTTACTACAATTTCAATTGATGAGGTTAGTTCAACAATCAAATCTGAACCTGATTTAACCACTCAGTCAATCAATGTTACACCAACAATAACAACTACAGAGGATAATTTAATTGCTACAGAAACTACAACTACAATTTCTAATGGTGAAGTTGAAGTGGTCACTACGGCTTAATTAGATATCGGACTTTCCTTAAATTAATATATTAATACATGTAACCAACAATGATTCAGGATGATTTCTACATAATATTTACTATGATTAATAAAATTTAAATTGCAAATTAATAGAGAGACAATCAGCTCGATTATTGAACAAAAAATACAATTTGTCGAAAGAGTTATGTTTCAAAAAGTGGATTCAGCTGATTGTGTTGATTATTAACCGATAACACTTTTCTACCAACAAAATACAACAATTAAACAAGGAAAACTAATTGTTGGTCTACATGAGGTTATTGTGATAATTAGGGTTGGAATATATTTACAAATCGAGGCGGAAATGTAAAACACCATTAAATTGTAAAGTACATTGACACTAAATTAAGTCATATTTAAGATTAAATTCATCTGAAATTAACGTTAATTGTAAAAGTGTAGATAATAACTGAGAAACAAAGCTATAGAAAGAGTGTGGATTTAAACACAACATCATCGTCATGAGTAATGATTAACATGAAAACCATTAATTCAGCGATTCTCTGGCAGATTAAATAATAATTTTGCCTAATTTGTTAACAAACATGAAATATTATAATATTAATAATATGGTATTTGGATCTGAAAACATGATCATTATCAGGTAATAATCATAACCTAGAGATGATGACTGATTTAATCAACACTTAATCATTTCTTTTCAACAACAGTACATGAAAAGTAGATTAACTTGTTATTAACTTTTCCAAGTTTCCTTAATTTTTAATACTTTACACATTTAGAAACAAGAATTATTAATAAATCCAAAAAATAGGCAAATAAATTGACATGGAAATTATTTAAAACTACTAAACTAATCAATCAGCAGGTTAATTGTTGTCTAACGTTGTAATTTGATTAAGATTACTTTCTCTTTCTCCCTTTCTCTTGTAAATGTATACAACATTCAAGATTTCAAAGATATGTTTACTTATTAGTTATTATTATCAGGGTTAATTGTTATGAATATTAAATGTTGAGATGAGATTGCAAAGTGATCAATCAAGATCAATTTGCAATCAATCATGATCATAATCACAATTGATTATCTTTAAGGCTGATTAAGATAATTATTGACTGACAAGAGGAGTGAGGTAAAAAAAAAAGATAAATATTGGTAGTGATAAAACTTGTAAGCCTGATAAATATTATATAAAGATAATAATAGTTGATCATGTAACTTACCAGAAAGTCCAGAAGAGACTGTATCATCATCATCATCAGTGATCTCATCGGAAACTTCAATTTCATCATGTAATCGTGATCGATGATTATCATTTGGATGTTGGAGTAAATTCCCTGTTTTTAAGCTATTTGACTTTTTCAAATGATATTGATGCATCAAAAATGCTGATCTTTCATTGGTGGGCAGTCCAGCTGATTGTCGACGTCCAGTGGCAAACAAAGATGATGGACTGGCACCTTCAGGTGGATGATGAGGAGGAGGGATATTGGCACTAGTATGAAACATAGTCCGTTGATGGTGGGATTGAGGTTGTTGTTGATATAAAGATGTCCGAGATGTGGTAAAATTGCTCATGTATGAGGGAGGTGGTGATGCTAAAAGATAGATAGTCAAATATTTTCAAAAATAATGTGATTAATTGTAAGGGGATAAGGTAAGTTAAAGAAAATTAAATATCAATGATTGTTGGTTAGATTTTGATATCAAATGTTAACTGAACATGAAACTAATGAAAAATGTAAGAATATTGAAAAAATAAAGCTAGAAGAGGATGATGAGGGAGATAGTGAAAAGGGAGAGTGGAGGGAGATGATATTTTAACTACTAATTATATATTATCTCATCATCATCTAAAACACAAACACTTAAACATAAAAATACAAATATATTGATATAAATGCTTATACAGTGGCATCAAGAGTTTAATATCATCATTTTTATCATCACTTATTTGATTATTGATAATGATGAATGGGATAGTGAAATTAATTGTCTATTACACTTGAATTACAGAGTCAATCAATTAGCTGATTAGCTTTGATAACTGACCATTGATTAATCATATGTTTAAAATACAATGACTAAACAATTAACTAAATAGTAAATGTTATAGCTAATCTATTAGTTGCAGATTAATATATTTATAAGTGGACAAAGTGTTAACTTTTTCTTACCTGATTGAAGATTCTTGTTTTTAATTTGTGATGGTTTAACTAATTGATGATCATTATCTTGATTGAAAACAGTTGAATATATTTCACTATCATCACTAGCCACTCGACCTCCGTACACATTTGGAGATTGTTTTTCATTTTCAATTGATTTCCTTTCTGATTGTAGCTGCTCATAGAAAACCTCTGAGTCTAATCTATCATCTAACATTTCCGCCGTGGTTGATGAATTGTTAGTGTTTGTGGTGGATGATGTACCACCTCCGATAGTATTTACTGAACTGGTGAGATTACTTAGAGTAGTGAGTGACCCTTTAGGTATATTGTAAGATTCTTGGCGCGATGGGATAGGAGGTGGAATCGGCGGTGGAATTGGAGGTGGTGATGATCGTCTATCGTAATTGAACAGTTCACTTTCATCAAGTTCAAATGCTTTCTCAATTTGAGGTTTACGATCCCAAGCATCAAGGTAGAAGGGAACAAAATCTGAACCATTTGGAACACTAGAGATAGAACAGTGAGTAATAAAGTGAACCGCCAGTTTATCAGCTAATGTGTGTCCCTCTTCAATCAGCTGAGTTGACAGATCAGTATTGGAATAGTAAACCTCTGAAGAGGATGATGCTGAACAGATAGATACCGAAGCTGCGATAGATGCAGTTGTTGGATTATCATTGTCAAGAACGGCAATTATTTGTGTTGGTGTATTGGGAATGTTATTGGAGAAAGCGGAAAGTGTATTGAGCGATGACTTTCTATGGGTTGAATAGAGTAAAATGAAACCATGAAGTAACTCATCACGATAAGCACCAGCTCCATGGTATGAGGTGAAAATAAATTCAACCAGTTTGTTACCACCTTCATTAAATGATACATCAGTAATTAGTGAATTAATTGAAGTTATAAAACACAAATTATGACTTAATAATGGATCAACAACTTTTTCCAATGAATATGGATCCCCACAAAAGGTACAAATGAGAATACGAAGATCGGGTATTATCATTGATTGTTCAGGCAATGATTGGTAAATTTGTATTAATCCAGCTCGACGTTGGATACTTTCAATTAGAGCAGACAAGGCACTCCTCATTTTAGAATCATATTCATCTCTTTCTATTCTTCTACTTTGTTTCCGTTCTCTTCTTCGTCTTCTTCTTTTTCTTCTTGCGTTACTATTTCCTCTCCTTTCTCCATTTTCATCTATTTCCTCTCCATCATCTTTATCAATCTCGTTTTCTTTGTCTTCTTCTAATTCTTCTCCTTCGTCCCCTTGTTCATCATTATCTTCATTTTCATCAATATCATCAATTGATTCACTTGAACTTGACAGAAAATAGGTAACATCAATAAATGGACACTGTAAACTCTTGGCACGGTTTTGACCTTCTTCTCGTAAAAAGATTGAATCTTGTACAGTTATATCACCATCAGCAGCAAACAATATTACCATTGGTAAACCATGGAAGGGTAAACGATCATCGGCTTCCAAATTTGATAGTAAAGTTTTTTCCATTGAATCACGAATATATTCAAGAGTTTGATGATTAGAGTAAACACAAAATAATCCTTGTGGTATAAATTCAGAGGTTTGAAATGCGTATTCAGGTAGATCTACATCTCCATCGATAATTCTAAAGTCCAAAGTGTAACGAATTTTTTCATATTCAAAAGATTCATTTACTTTCTATGAAAAAAAAAGTTGATAGAAAAAAAAAGAGTAAACAAGAAGAAAAAAAGAAATGTAATAACGAGAAAGCAAAATAATAATCGTTACTATTATTCATGTGAATGTATAAATGAATAATATATCAAATATTTTGTTGAATATCAAATTTAGTCTGGTTTCTGTTTTTGATTTACATGAAATGAAATCATTTTGTTGGAATCTTTGATTGAATTACCTTGATAGTTGATGATAAGTCTTCAGCTAAACCACCAGATCCAAGAATGACAATTTTAAGGTTTGTGTTGTCAGGATTTGGAATCCATTGAGAGTACCTGAGGAAAGGTGGGGGTCGACTGTAAGAGAGATGATACAAAAAGAAAAAGATTAAGAGCATGACAATCATGTTTTCCTAAATTATAATGATGGAGATGATTCTCTCTCTCTCTCTCTCTCTCTCTCTCTCTCTGTCATGTTATTAAAGTGCTGATTGATTGAATGGAAAAGAAGAGAGATGTTGTGTTTTTGTTTTTTCTACTAAAATTTGGGTTTAGAATTTTAAAATTTACCTTGGTTGAGTGGAAACGAATTTCTCTATCAGAATATCCATACAATCAGGGTAAGATGGACAATGTTCACGAATTGGACCATGGATGAAACCGAGATGACGAAGTAACATGAGCGTTCTCTCTTGTTCTAATCTGTCAAGAGCTTTGTACCTGTTATTGCAACGAAATAGGATTAAATAAGTTATTCTAACGTTTCTGTAACATGATGAAGATAATGTTTGTGTCTGAATTAAAAATTGTAAGACAATATTATTGGTTTGGATGGAAAAACAAATGTTCATGATTAAACAATGATTAAAAAAGGGATGAGTTACACTTTGGTGAAATTAGATGATACCAAAAGGAAAAGGGTTAATGATAATTGTTAGTTACGTATTGAATTAACTAATCAGTGGAAAGAAAATTATAATCATAATTACCTGATATCTTCTTTTATTGCTTCGTTTATTTTGAATATATCATTCTGAGTAATTGCATTACCTGGACTGATAGCAGCAAAGTGATAGAAAAGCTCAGAGTTTTCTAATAGAAGTTCTTGAAAGGTAAGCTTGGCACGTTCAGTGAGACTACGTTGATAGTCTGAATAAATTTCATACAGATCTTGTTCACTTAGAGATTCGTAGCATTCTCGGCCCATAAATAGGATTCGAACTTCGTTGAAACTTTTTCCTGGTGTAATGTAACCAGTCTCGGAGAGTAATTGTTGAAATTGATGCTTCAATTCTTTCCTTCGATCCTCCGATTCAAGGGATGCTCTATGTTCTCGGAAACAAAGTTCAGCTTCTTGAGTATTTAATAGATCAAACGGAATCCGTGATTCGGTGCTTTCTACATCTAACTCGTGCCAAGGTTGATCCATGTTATTAATAAAGTAACGATTAAAGTCAGGGTGAGTTCTTAATTTAATTTTAGCCATATTCCAATCACAGTTTTCTCCCATAGCATCAATGTCGGGTAACATTTCAGCGAGCACCACGGGAAGAAGACGGAGATAAGTTTGCATTTTCCTTGAGATGTAATCGTCTTTCAATTTTTTCACATGTCGTTTAAAGGTTTTATGAGCATTTTCTTGTCCAAACAGATCACAATAGCGAATAAAATCAGGTGATTGAGATAACTTTTTGTGAGCTGAATTCCAAAGAGCTCGATAATCGGTTATTTGACTTCGAATGAGAACTTGACAAGCATTTGAGGCGATATCAAGGATAGCTTTACGTTCACGAAGAGCATCATAATAAGGGATTATTTTAATTGCACCACGTCGATTACGATCAAGTAACTGAAGACAAGCGATAAACGCATTGTCAACATTAACATTATCATGGGCTGATGTCTCTATCCAGGGGACGATTCCTCGAAATTCTTTCCTATTGACAAGTTTCTCCGCTTCTCTTATATGGTATTCAATGGCTTCATCATGTTTGGTAGTTGCCAAAACAACCGGTTTCTTGGTTTTTATGAGATTATTTAAAATTAATGAAGTATATTCAATGGCTTTATCCAGACTTCGACCTTGCACCTCACTAACATCAAAGACGCAAACAAAAGCGTCAACAAGGAATCGCCCATCATTAAGATATTTTTGTTCATATTCTTTCTCAATACCAAGCTGGTTTTTACAAATGTACATTAATTTTTCCGCTGAATTTAATCGTGTTGACGCACATCTCTTATAATATGGCTCCGTTTTACCTGTTTTGAATGGCTGGAAACAGGAATCATCAATAAATTCGGTTTGCTCGATTATACTGAAGGTTACTTCTGCTCCTTCATCCACTTGTTTAGTCACTTCTCCCCAATAAAGCCAATGATCATTATTTACGACTCGCCCACTAAAATCACTCTGTGAGAGTACAGAAATATGATCTGTGTGATAATCATCGGCGAATGAACGGACAAAACGATTACAAAGACATGATTTACCAACACCCATACATCCTTTCTCCTTTTCTGAGCCTGAAAGGCCAACAACGGCAATGTTGAATGTTTTGGGAAGAAAGTGTGAATGGTTCTCCACCTTCTTGGCCATCTTCTTCAGAGTCCATGATGAAGAAGATGGCTTTGTTGTTGAACTATCGTAAGTAGCCAGTTGTAAAGATGATGGGAAACTCGGGTTGAATTGAATAAAAAAAATGCAACCACCAAAATAAATTAATAATGGTAGAGGGGAACAAGATGAATTTAGAAAATATAATTGTGTGACTAAAGGTGTGAAAACAAAGTAAGATTAAATTTGAGAGAATTCAACACTTTAAGAAGAGAGATGATTGACAAGTAGATGTGAAATTTGAATATTTTTCACTTCCCATTCACAATAACAGCAAACAAGATGATCAAGTTGATGATAGAGATTATGGTAACAGTGATGAAAATGATGTACCAATGAGCCAATTGTAATCACATGTAACCAGAAGATAAGATGATGATGACAAGAGAATATTCCAAATTGAACACATTAGTTACATATAAGGAAAAGTAGATAATAAGAGGTGAAAATTAGAGTGATCAAGGATATAAACATGTAAGTATGATTTCCAATACCAAATCGAGACTAGACTTATATCCAAGATAAGATGAGATGAATATTAAGATGAGTATGTAAAGATCATCCAAAAATCAATCACGTTAATGGTTAACTTTACCATCCTAATTATTTTCCCCTTGTCCAGGATGTCACACCAAAGGGGATTTAAAGAAAAGAACAAAAAAAAGAAGAGAGAATATAAAGAGATACACTAATAAACTCTTAAAGGCAAAATAGAGGAAAGAGATAAGGTAAGAGTGGGAAAAAGAGATGATGAGGAGGAGAAGAAGAAGAAAATACAAAGAGCAAAGAGAATATGAGAAATAAAGAGTAGAGTATTTAACAGCTGGTTTAAGTTTCTATGGATATATAAAAAAAGATCTTAATAAATAGTAATCAACACACACGATATAAAGATAATTGAAGAGAAGAGAATTTTTTTTTCTTCAGAAAAAGAGATTGAGTTAAATGATGAAAATGAAAAGGAGAGAAGAACAAAACTCCAAAGTAAACACAATGTCTTCTTTCAAGATTCAATTGGATTAAATGGTTAAGATAGAAAAGAAATCACAACATTCTAAAGATGATGAAAGTTAAGTAAATTAATTAAAATAACAATTAACAACAAGAAATAAAAAATAATTACTTAATTGTGATTTAGAAATGATTTCAATTGAATTCATTTTCTTAACTGAGTGAAGCTTGAAACGAATTCGGTAATTAGGAGGATCGATATTTGGAAAAAGAGTTTTGATTCGAAGGTAAGGCGATACAAGTGTATGTCAGCTCACTTTTCTTGCTCTAAGCCAGCATCTGGTTCGGCTCAAGACTAATCATCAGCTTGAATTTTTGCGTTAAACTAAATTAACTTAATTATGATCTTAATAAAGGAATTGAAGCTCAGATTTAATTCTAATCATAGTCAATACAATCAAGACAATCCAATGAAAAAGGATTATTTTTTAAATGTTGCAAGGTTATTTCCATATTGAGCTGCGGTTGATTTTTCGTGTGGTACATCGTTTTATAATAGAATTCAGTTAAATGGTCGGGTCGATTAGGTCCATTTGATGATGTTGGTAAATGTTCTTTGAGTGACCTCCACTTTCTTTCAATATTTTGCCTATGAACATTTGGATTCTTTGGGTTGACAAAATTTTTTGAATGGTTAACCCAATCATGATTATAATCATATTTGTTTAAGTTTTGATAGCATTTCCAACCATCATGTTAGAATTAGGTCCTTCGATGTTTGTAATATTGATTTATTATCACACCAACAGAAAATTATCTTCAGAAATTTTAAAATTGATAACTTCGAGTTATCAAAAATTGTACCAACTGTCCAATTCATTGATTTTCGGCATTTTCTACACACAAACGCTTTACCAAGAGATGAATTTCTCATTTTTCTAAGCACCATTAAGCCATCACAATCAATTTTCAAGCACTTTTTTGGTTCCTCATTGGGAATTAAACCACAATCAATTATATATTGTAATCCAGGAATTTTTCATTTGGACTTGCGATAACCGAATCAAAATTATCTAAACCTAATTTACATTTAGCCATTTTCGTAAAGATGAAACAATCACGGTCAAAATTTACACTCAAATGATTAAATCTAGTTTGTGTTTTGTGCTTAAGTTCAAATTTTTTGTCCATATAGTTAATTAAGATCATAATTAAGTTAATTTAGTTTAACACGAAAAATTTAAGCTGAAGATTAGGATTGAGCCGAACCAGATGCTGGCTTAGAGCAAGAAAAGTGAGCTGACATACACTTGTATCGCCTTACCGATTCGAATCCAAGTTAAATTCTTTACAATTTTTGTATCCGTTTGGATCCACGAATTCGGGTTTCATTTGATTTTCCGATGCAATGAAATTCGCGGTTAATTTGAAATTGAGGGAATATTTTTTATTTCTATTAAGTAAATTGGTTATAATTATCTGGAAGTCGATTTAATTAATTAGTATGATAGAAAAAAAGAAAAATTTGTATATTTTGAATTTAGAATAGAAAATATTGATCATTCTAATGGACAGGGTTGCGATTTTTCTTCTTCTTTTTCGTCTCTTTCTTCATTTTTGTCTTGTTTATCTTCTTGAGTGGTTAATAGTTTTCTTAATGTGATATTTTCTTTAACTAATTTATCGATTAACTTTTTATCTTTCGAATCAAAATTTTCATCAATTTGTACTGCTTTCGCCATAATTACTCTCATCTCAGTTATCTTATCCATTTGACGGTTTAATGCAATCTCTTGATCATCTAGGGTTAAATGATCGGGTAAAGGATATTTCATTTTCGCTTGATTAATACTTTGTTTTAAACTTCGATATTTGTCCATCACAAATTGTAGTGTCATTTGATGTTCTTCCAGAGCATTTTTTAATTGTTGATTCTCCTCTTTTGCACAATACAATTGTATTCCCTCTGTTTGAAGAGTTCGGATTAATTTTGCTCTTCTACTGGTTTTACTTTCATCATGTTCCCATGCATATACATCAGCAATATCTGGTACAAGGTAATCTTGTGTTCTGGAAATCATTTTATCAATTAGTTCAACAGTAGCAACAGTTTTCTTTAGTTTTAAACAAACAATAGAAAAGAAGAAAAAAATTCAATTCATTAATATTAAAGTTTCTCATTTCAATTTTCACTTTGAGAATCTTAATCAATGACAATTAGTTACCTTTTCCATTTCTTTATGTTCTTCCGTGAATTTGGTACTTTCAAGAGGACCCATTTTACTATTAACATACTGTAAATAATAATTGTGACACAAATAATAATACAAAATGATTAAAACATGAAAACATAATAAGAGTCATAAAGAGATCAAGTTAACAAAAAAAAAGAAATGAGATCATTTGAAATTAGATGATTACCTGATTAGCCTTGTTGATTTGTTTCTTAAAACCAGCTAAAGCCATGATGATAGTTACTAATTGTCTTAATTGGAAGAAAAAAAATCACCAAAAATTAAGTAAAATCAACACAATAATCAATTGTTTACATGGAAAAAAATTTGATTTGAGAAAATTTTTTATTCCAAATAAAAAATATCCGATCCTGAGATTCAAATAGAATCCGATAGATGGAGTTACTTATCCTTCTTTCGAATTAGAAATTAATTGTTAATTAACTTTTCTATTAACAATCAACATTCCAATTTAACTGATTGCAACGACATATCTTCACCTAATTGACTAGTTCGATGATGATAAAGTTCCTCATCTCGATCTCCATGTTCATCTCTAAATTCAATTGTCTCTCTATTCCCTCAGAAAATTCAATCATCACCTTTATCTTCACGATTCTTTCATGTTTCAACTTTTCCTCTCTCACTCTCTCATTAATCATCATTATCATCTACTTCTTTTCCCTTCATCTAACTCAAATTTCTCCTTCTCCCATGTAACCAATTCCTCTAACGATCAGATAACTTTTTCCTTCCTTATTCCACTTTCACGATAATTGTCTTCATCAGTTCCTTTTCCTTTTCTCTCATTCTATGAGTATAATATTCAAATATGAAAAAATGTTTACCTTTTTTATCAAGTTAAATCATCTCGATTGTATCATTGGAGAGACTTAACTAATTAAAGTATTGAGAATCAATTGGCCATTCAAAGTATTGATGATTTAAATCAATCTAAATGATCATCAGGTAAATCAACCGGATTACCAATTAAGGAAAACAATTTAAATGATTACGATCCGTACGTTAAATTACAATTATTACCTGATAAACAGCACAAGGTAAGCAATTAACTTTAACCCGATGAATTTAATTAGTTTAAAAGTAAACATTGAAATGATCGTTGAGATGAATTAATAATATTAATTTAATCGTATTATTTGTTTACTTTCACTTGATTTAATTCTTTGAGCATCCTCATCACTTTTACCGTTATGATTGTTCACTCAAATTGTACTGCCTCTTAAATTAATCGTCTTAATTAGCTGATAATTAGTTTTGGGTTCACTTTGAATTCAAATTAAATTCTTATTAATCGAGCCAAGATAATGATTTTTGTATCAATCGCTAATTTATTTTTACTTAAATAAACGTAATATTCAATCATGGGACCGCAATAATAATACACTACAAGTGAATGTTGATTTAGTTTTTAACATTTTGATTTATTTGGTTGGATGAAAATATAATAGAAAAATAGAAAAGGTATAAAATATAAACGGGAATTTGGTGAAAATTAGACTAATAACTGCCATCAGGACCACTTGATCTTTGACCAATAGAGAACCAAAATTTCTTGTAACTGGTCATCCGTTGCTTGGTCATTGAGATTTCGATGAGTGTAAACTTGATTTATCCAAAAGATAGAAAACCAATCTAATAAACAAATTCGAAAAAGAGAAAATTTAGAACATAAATAAAAGAGAGAAAATAAGACCAATTCGTATGAACGTTTTCAAATACCTGATGAAAAAAAGATCACAACCGAGGTCAATCCGATCCATCGCTTGACCATTCGTTAGAATATTCGAAAACCAAAGTAAATACCAGACGAAAAATATCACAAAATACAATCGCTCACTCACAAAAAAAGTAAACTATTTTCTTGACAATTCTAATCAACTCATATCTTCATTGAATAATCATAACATTCAAACAATCAAAACTTTCAATTTACATCAATTTGCTCTATTTTCTTGTATTCACATTTTCGTATCTTCATTGACATCATATCGAAAACTGCAAAATCTATTAATAAATCAACTTTCTTGCGCACTATAACAAAAATACTCGAAATTGACATAAGAGGATGGAAAAGAAATCAAAAACGGAAGTTGAACCATACAATACAAATAGATGAGCATAAGAAAATTTCAAATGATTACAGCGAAAAAAAGAGATAAAAATCATCTTCGATTAAAAAAGCCATTCAAACTTTGTCTTCGGCAAGGAGGAAGCTCTTTAAACATCAACAGAATTAAAATAACAGCAATAGAGGAAATTGATTTGGACAATCAATTTGAACACTGGACTTCATGGAGATTTGACTTCATGAAATTGATTTAAAGGACATCATTGGCTTGAAAACTCGGGACTTTGAACGATATAGACATGAGCTTAATCACAAGACTCCATTGGACATAACTAGAAAAATTACAATTGCTGTTAATCATCTTCATTTGAGTGATGATCAAATGTTGATCAATTTACTAGTAATGCCATCCGTTAATAGGAAAAAGAGTTACTTTTCTCATTCCAAGCTAATAGATCATTAACTTTACATGAGGTCTCTGACTCTTTACTTTTTTCTTCTTCTTTTTTGCCTTTTCTGCTGAAGTGGTTTCATGATTTTTAATAACTATTGGTAGCAATCGATAGCTATGAGATAATTTACAACAATCAGCAACACACAGCACAGAGTGAAGATTCAATTTGTTAACTCGTATGTCTGAATGTAAGTCAGTCAAGTAACGGCATCGACTGGGGGATAAGACAAGTTTCAACAGTCGGCCTGCGGCCTGAGAACTGAAAAGCATGGAAAAGATTTTCAGTTTACCTTAATTAAGTTAAAAAGTTAGCAAGAAGTTAATACATATAAGAGATTTAACTGTAGGGTTTTTAACCTCAGGTTAACTTTGGTCAAAGAAAAAAGAGAAGAAGACGAACTGAAAGACGATTAAATTGGATAGAGAGAGAGAGAGAGAGAGAGAGAGAGAGAGAGAGAGAGAGAGAGAGAGAGAGAGAGAGAGAGAGAGAGAGAGAGAGAGAGAGAGAGAGAGAGAGAGAGAGAGAGAGAGAGAGAGAGAGAGAGAGAGAGAGACTGATAGAAGATGGAGAGAAAATAAGTTGAAAAAAGAAAAGAATAAAATAAAATGGAAAAGTGGAAAATGTAAATTGTTCAGTTCAACTAACCACGTTTGACTTTTTTTCCTCGTAATGTTTTCCCTTTGTCGATGAGCTTACAGTTAACACAATTACAGAAACGCCGTTTACATTGATCCTTGTGGTTTTTAACTGGAAAATATTGACCGTGGATTTTGCATTTCGCACAAAAAGGGATTGTCTTTTTGTCAGGATCTCTGAATTGAGTTCTGTCTGTCGCCTAAGATGGTGAAGTTGAGTATTGGGATAAACCACCGATTCCATTGAAATCACTGTCTCCTTCACCATCACCATCACCGTCAATACTGTAATTATCTACTTCTACATTTAGTTGCACTACAGTTTCATCACTATTACATTCAGTGTTTGTTATATTTGTTATACCATCATTTGTGTTGTTATTTATACTATTTTTTATGTTGCTCCTGTTGCTGTTGTTGTTGTTGATGATGTTTGTTGAGATGGTTGTTGCACTAGCTGAAATATGATCAAGTTTGGGTGCGAGTATAAAGTCAATTGTAAAATTCTTCTTAATCATTGAGATTTGATTAGTGTTGATGTTACCTTGGCTTTAAGGTTTTTCTTTCTCCTTCTTGCTCTTCTTCTTCTTCTGGAAGCGTTACCACCAACCAATTAACACCAGAGAAAAACATACAGAAACACTTGTTAGATTGCTGCTCATGGAAACAAAACACTTTCAATTATAAATATACATAGAAAATTAATTATTCTAAATAAAATAAACTAATTAAATAACAAAAAATTCTAAATTCACAGAGAAAGAAAAAAAATTAACTTCTAACGATAAACGAGAAAAACGAACGTTCTTGGTGAGGTCCTACCATTAGAAGAGATGAAAGAGTCTGTTACAGAAACTGTTTCTTTCACTGCGTAGAAGAAATATTTTCCATCAAACAAAAGAGAAGAAAAAAAAGTACAATATCACCAGCAGAAAAACGGCCACGAAGACAAAACCATTAGAGTATCAATATACAACCAAATCCATGAAACAAAAGGGTCAAGAAAAACAGCAAAACCACCAAAGGATAGAAAAATAAAATTCAAGATTAAATGGAGAATAAAATAATTGGAACATCACATAAACCAAAGGGAAAAAGAGAATCAAATCAAATAACTTACCTTAATCATTGTATTAATTTTAATTCACTTGTAAACCTAAACTATTACAAAGCACTTAGACAAAATTACCACTAATTTAATGAGTTTAGAACAATGAAAAGACACAAATTGAGGTTAACCAATACAACATTGGCTACCTTACCCAAGAACTCAATGAATTAAATGGCAGACAAAATGGCGATTATATTGAGAGTGAAGGAGAAAATGATCTCACTCACCTTCCTCTTCTTCCTCGAGCAATAGCCAATAGAATTCCGAGTGATACGTGATAAGCAGAACTTGTTCTCTAACAGAAACACAAACACATGATTCATACGCAATCATATTGAGTTTATTCAGCCAATTAAATGTCAACCGAAATATGTTAAGTACCAGGAAACACACGAATTACAATTCACTGAAGCTCAAAGGTCAGATTACTGAGGATCACCTTCTTGACCATCTTCTTCAGAGTCCATGGTTGTTGTTCAATTGAATAATTAGTCAAGTTGTTAGGTAATTATTATTGAGTTTGCATCGATTATTTAACTAATATTCAGAGTGGAAAAGGATAAAATAAAGACTCTGCCCTCTACTCTATCGGATTGACGAAAACAAATAAAAACTCGGCGAAAGGGAAACCAAATAAATTTAGAAAATATATAAGTATAATAATAATAGTAGCAAAGAAGAAGATGATCAAGTTGATGATAGAGATTATCTTAAAAGTGAAAATGATGTACCAATGAGCCAATTGTTATGATTTGATGATGAGGATGAAAAAAAGATGAGAGAGAGAGAGAAAGAGATACGATAAACTTATAAACTCTTAAGGACCAAATAGAGGAAAGAGATGAGAAAAAATGATGATGAGAAGAAGAAAATTCAAGAGCAACAAGCAAATACAATGTAAAGATAAATGATTAGTTGAACAGTTTTCTAATTAAAACAAACAATAGAAAAGAATCAAAAATTGATGAACAAAAATATTAAACTTTCTTTGCGAAACTTTTAACATTTTCAATCTTCGGTTTGGTTGATTTTCTGATCTTCAGATTCAAAAAGAATCCGAT